ATTTCAATTTCGACAACTATATTTAGATCGATCGATCGAAACTATCGATCGATCAAGGTCCTACTCTTCCAACAAAAGTTTTTTCTATTTTTGTATTTGAATTTCATTTGAAAAAAACACTTGAAAAAATTTTCATGACCTTTTCAGGTGAAATTTTTAAAAAAAGCAGTTTTTTTCCTGTCCAAAAGGACCTAGAGTTTTCATCGAAAATATCATTCTTGTTTCTTTTTATCGTGAAAAGACCACCACCACCACCACCTTTCACCTATATGATCTTGATGGTGGTGAGATTTGGTGATCATCATACTCGATGTGTGGTGGTCATGATTTGCTTCACAACATCATCTAAGATCATTGGTGGTGGTGGTTGAATGACCATTCGAGGAAAAAAATCATAAAAAAAACATTGGAACCTATACCGAAGGGTCATTTCAAGTGAGAGAGAGAAAAAAAAAGGTCAGGTCAAACACACTACATATAGAGCGAACGAATGATGAAAATTAAGTCATTAATTTGTTGTTTGTTCATTCAATTTTTAAATATTAGAAAAAAACTTCAATATCATCATCATCAACAACAACTCACGAACATTAACCAAACGAATTTATGAAAAAACCATTAAAAAATATTAGATTCTTAGATTCGTTTCTGTTAAACAAAAACATGTAAAAATTTTATGGTTTTTTTTAGTTTATTTTGGTTTGATTTTGGTTTTGGTTTTGTTTTGTTTTGTTTTATTCAATTTTGAATCAAAAAATTTGAAAAAATTCATTTTTTCCACTAAAAAAATTGATTTGAAATCGATGATTATCATCATCATTGATGAAATTATGAATCAATCAATCAATGGTACTTGTATCATCAATGAGTGTGGTAAATAAATAAATTTTCTGTACAAATAACCAAACAGCAACAATAAATAAAGAGAAACAAATTTTCTGTTCAATTTTTTTCAAATATTCAAACAAAATTATTTCATTTTTTTTTGTTGAAATGAAAATATCAAAAAAAGAATGATTTGATGATGGTGATGACCACTTGAACTTTTTTTTTCAATTTTCTTTTCAGGTGTGTGTGTGTGTTAAATGTGAATGCTAAACATGCATATTTTTAACACATTCTCCCAGTTTTCAAGTTTTTTCAGGTCAGATCAGATAGTTTTGAGTTCATAGGGTTTATTAGTGATTCAGAAAAAAAACTGTTAAAAACTCTTTAACCCTGTTTGATAATCCAAGAAAAGAATTTTCAGTTAAATTTTGTTAGATAATTTGACAGGTCAGGTTTATAGGTTTTTTTTTTGGTCAGGATTTTTGCAGGTTACCTTAAGAAACAAAACAAAATCATAGGGTCCATCATCATCATCAACGACGATCATATACCACCATCACTACCACCCGAAATATCAGACCAGGATCTTTGAAGGCCAATAAAGAATTCAATCATCGGACAAAATGAAAATATTTCCCCATATAGCAAACAAACAACATCTTTATTATCTTTCATATAAACATCATAATTATATGCAAGATAGACACTTGTCATGTGATATGATGATGATGATAATAATGGTAAAACATCTTTATCTTTTTTTTTTGATGATTTTTTGTTATTGTTGTTGAATTTCAACACCAACCATCAATATGATGATGATGGCCATGACTATTTTTTGATCCATTTAATCATTAGGTATATGCAAAATCAAAAAAAAAATCAAAAATCATAGGTATTTGCGATCAGGTCATCATCATTGAAAATAACAAACATTCTTGTCTTCATTTGAAAATTATTATTATTTGGTTTTAGAATTCTTTTTTCGATCGAATGATAATAATGATACAAAGCTGCAACCATCTGATGATTCTCGAGAGATCGATGGTGGAAAGAAAGTAAAACCCGAAAAAAAACTGAACCGAAATTAAGCAATTATCATTCTGTAGGTCGGTTATGCATGACAATTTGTTTGTTTGGAGTTGGAGTTTGATTCGTTGAGGTAACCCTCTGGTCTGTTGATGATCATTATTATTATCAACATTGCTTAATTGAGTGTATGGTTCGTGATTATGATGTTATCCGACGACGACGACAAAGATAATGATGATAATCTTAGGGAAAAAAAGATGAAAACGTGGCTAGTTTTGGTTTTATCAGATGATATAATGATGTAAATGTAAAGATAATCAACGTGAATAAAAGTCATTATCAATAAATGAAAATTAGATCAATTTTTTCGTTTGTAAAGTGTATCAAATTTTAATCAAAAAAGACTAATTATGCTTCAGGGTTCCCCATGCTTTGTTTTTGCATGCTTGTGAAAATTGAAACTCACGAATTTCATGAACAAGGACAGGATAACCCTGCTTCAATTTTTTTGTTTTTGGTTTGGTTGATTGAAACATTAGTGAAAGTTTTTTGTTTTTGGGTTTCAATTCGTTCGTACAATGGATCAATTTCAATTCGATTGAACAACTTTGTTCGTAGAATAAAAATATCGAAATGAAATTATTAATGGCACCGGCGACGACGACGATGATGATGGTTAATGGTTGATTGAAAAAAAAATCGTCGATCGACGACGAAAACTAATGGGAAAAAAATAATGATCATCATTATTTTGACCGATCGGTCGGTTTGTTGTTTTTGTTTTCGTGAAAAAAAATGTCTAAATTAACTTTTGGTGGTGGTAGTATGATGATGATAATAATCGTGTATGGTGGTGGTGACGATGGTAATGGCAACAACAATAACAACAATCATAATAATCATCATTAATGTTTGGGGTGAAATGAATCCAATTTTTTTTCTCAAAGTCAGGGTCATAATCATCAACCTAACCTAACTCAACTATGAATTATAGTCATAGTCATCAACCTAACCTCACTCAACTATGAATCATAGTCACAGTCATAGTCATCAACCTAACCTAACTAAACTATGAATCATGGAAATTAACAAAAAGATTGGACTTTTGGTTAAAATAATAAAGTCATTATCTTTTTCAAAGATTAAATAATTATTTTACATTTTACATTTTGACGTTTGTTACGGGGATCATTTAATTTACAAATAATGACAATTAAATTATATAGCTCGTGGTTTATTCATCAATTTCATTCTCAAGATTTTTATCCATTAAGAAATGATCATTAACAGAAAAGATCATCATCAAGATGAAAAATCCAAAATTAGATGTGATCTAGTGTACGCCAACAAGAAAGAATTTTATCAATTGTTACAAATTCCTGATTTCTGTTTGTTTTTTTTCTGGATCATCATCATTATCGATCATCATTAACCAATCAATTTGTTAATCCGTTAACAATTTCTACATAAAGATCATTAATCTTGGTCATGGAAACAAAAAAAAAATTTTTTTTTGAAATTTAGACAAAACAATCATTTAGGTCAACATTTAAACAAACAAACAAAACCAAACAAAAACTACTGTTGATGATATAGGAAAAACATAATGTTATTTTTATGTTCATTTTTGTATCTTTAAACATCAAACTTAAAAAACTTTTTCTTTCGTGAAAAAAAAATTTTTGAATATTTTTGAATCCAACATGTGTGTGGGTGAATGAGATTTGGTCCACTATAATGTTATTTTATTGTGCAAATACCACATATGTTTTGAAAACAGAAATTTTTGATTATGTGAAGAGTTTATGAAGAAATTCAAACAACCAAAATCTGATACAATAAAAATGATAATTTACTTGTTGTTTAACTGTGTGTGTGTGTGTTTATTCCAAAAAAAAACAAAGCAATTCCAGTCAAAATGTATGTTTAACTTTACTTCACTTCACTTACTTAACAGTCGATTAAAAAAAGCAACTTTTTTCAAAATTTTTTTTTGTTTTTGTTTAATAAATAAACACACACACACAAACTCCTACCATCAGGATTTGAAAGTAAAGTTACAGAGAAAATTCATTGATCATCATCAAACTTACAATTGATTTTAAACAAAAAAAAAAAAAAAATCAAATTCGACAAATGACGATTGCCAGTCATCATCATCAATGATCATTGTGTTTGATGCACCAGGCCAAGCAACCAGATAAATTTCGATTTCGATTTGTTTAATTCAATTTGAATGAAAAAATTCAAATGATTCGTGTTGAACAACAGAAAAAAAACCTAAAAATAAAGAGAATTCACACACACACAGTGTGTGTTTGTTATGTAAACAAATTGAAAAAAATGATTCACAAATCGGAATGAATGCAAAAAAAATTATTATTATTATTACCAAATCTGGTTTAAAGTAAAATTTGGAAAAAAACAAAAACAAAAAATCATGTTCATCAATTCACATAGGGTGATCATTGAATTTAAAAATGATACTCACTTTAATAGTCAATCGGTCGGTCGGTCGGTCGGTCGGTATGTTTGTTTGTGTTGTGTGTGTGTTCATGCGAATTTCCTGCAAACGATGAATTCTTTCTTTCAGTTTAAATCGACAAGAAAACCAGAAAACTTGTTTTTTTTCTTCCACAAATGTTATTTAAGCATCATCAAATCGAATATATAAAAAAAATTATGCATTTGAACAGCCAACCAACCAAACATATTGGTGATGTTTGTTCAACAACGTGTATCATGCTTGATACACACCGGAATCATTATTCAAGATCATTCCAAGTTTCGTTTTCTCTCTTTCGACATCGATATAGACATCTCAATTAAATGATACGAAAAAATTCAAAATTGAAAAAAAACAACTTTTTTTTCATTCACAATTTAGCGCACTCGGTGCTTTTTTTAAAAAAACTGATGTGAAATGAACCAACGATAAAATTTTAATTATAAACAATAATTTTTGTTTTTGTTTTATTGGCTTCATATTATTCAAAGAATCAAAGATTCTTTTTTTTTCTCAAAAAATGTTTATATTAAAAGAAAACACTAACAAAAAAACACCCATATAACAATAATAATGTGGTTTTTTTAATAAAAAAATTATTGGCACTTGTGGTGGTTGGTGGTTAATTTCGGTAATTTTGCCATCATCTTTCGCCCCAGTAGATTATAATCTTGAACTTGAAATCGATTGGTGCCAGCCAAATTCTCTAGATTCTCTTCACCAATCATTGAAGAATGATTTTTAAGCTGCCAACAATTGTACCATTTTTTCCGATAATATCTACAAAGATGAAAAAAACAGAAATTAGAATAAAAAATTTAAATTAGGGCCAAAAAAATAAATAAAGTGGAGTGGAAACCTGAACAGCTTTCCGAAAAGATTTTGGTTCAAAATCAAACACCAGACATTATTTATTATCATTATTTTCATAACAACTTAAAGAAGATTACACAAGAATTACAAAAACAAAAGCAAAGTCCAAAAAAGATGCTTTTGCAAAACAAATAGCAGCACCTATAGTCATCCTTGAATTTCTTTTCAAAATCAAAACAGCAAACATCATCAGAAAAAGATTTTTTTTTTGTTTGAGAATCATATTTAAACATCATCATTTTACCCGAAACTAAATCGGGAATTATCGTTTTTTTTTGTTTCGTTGCACAAAAGCATTATCATCATCATCAAAAAAGGCTAAATTTAAATAACAACAAAAACTAACATGGAATTTTTGGCTGAAAAAAGAAGCTATTATACAAAACAACTAAGGCGATGATGATGATCAGCACACAAAATGAATTTGATTACCATTATATTTTGCGCGAACGAGAGAAGAGCAAGAAAGAGTGAGAAAATGAATTTGTGATTTGATTTGATTTTAAGTATATTTTTTCTTTTAAAGAAGAGAATTTATTATATAATTATCAGTCATATGATGATGTTTTGTTGTTGTTGGTGGTGGTAATAAAAAATTTGTAATGTGAATATTTTTTCTGGGCGCGTACCAAACATTCATCATTATCATCATCATCAAGCAAACAAATAAACAAAACAAACAATCAACAGGTAACAGGTAAAGTTTGGCTTTTTTCTGGCTTTTTTTTTGGTAATCAAAGCGGATCATCAAATTCATTTTCAGCAGAAAACAAAATAACATTCCAAGAAAAAATAAAGATTTTTTTTTCTAATTAAAACGATAATTTAAACCAATGGAGAAAAACCCACAACCTGTTGCTTGACTTCAATGAATTGCTTTCTGGTAATTTCTGATCTTTTTTCGCCTGACCTTTGCTTGATTTCCCAATTTTAAACTGTGAAAATTTTTCAAAAAACAAGATGATTAGGTCATCATTTACAATCAACATCACATCATTTGAATGATGATGAATATCGACACCCATATTAATGATATATATGGTGTCACCATACAGATATTATTTACCACCATCATCATCATTTTCAAACCAGGGTATTTTATTTTCAAAAAAAAAAAAATTATATACCATCGATCCAAATGTCAAAAAAATGTTCGCTACTGCAATGATAATGATGGTCATGGTTGAAAATGAAATTTTTTTCTGTTTGAAAAAAGTGACAATCCACCATAACCTCTCTGACACCATAACGTAACAAAAGTTATTTTGAAACTGACAATCTTTCACTCTCGCTCTCTTCAACAAACAACCAAAGACAAACACACACACACACATATTTATGTCATCATCATTTTTGGAGGTTTTTCTTCATCTTCAAATATCAAATAGGTTCTGATCAAAGTATCACTGCTGCTGTTGTCCAAATAACACAAACGAAAAAATCTTTCTTCAAATCATCATCATTATCATGAATGAATGACCAATATATATTTGAAAGAAAGAAAAAATGCCACTGTGTAATTTATCCAAACGAACAACAACAAAATGAATGAATGAATGAATAAATTTGAAACTGGGACCATATTTTTTCTGTGAAGTGGCCCATCATCATCATCATCATCATCATAGCATTATATTATCATCGCGCTTATGGTTTTTGTCGTCATGGTTAACTTGTAGACAAACACACAAACACAACACAAGTGAATGAATTTTAAAGATCTTTCATCATAACTCCTACGCATATTTCTGAAACGGAAACAACTAAACAACGAAAAAAGATCAAAAAAGATGATTGACTTGCCAACCAAACATTTGAAAGTAAAAACATCTTGAAAATGAAAAATATTCAACAAAAAAAATGAAAAGTGAGATAAATGTAATGGAACCAGAGAGAAAAACAAAATAAAACAACGAAACTCTTTTGATAAATATTATATGTGTGTGTTTAAAGCAAAGCAAAAAAATCATCATCATTTTTCTTTTTCGTTGAAAGATTCATTAGACCGAATCTACCACAATTTCTCTCTCAATCATTATCTTACCATAAAACCAAATTGTGGTAATGTGAGGACCCTCTCATTTGAAAAACAAAAATTTTAAAATGTCAACGAAAACTTTCGCTGTTGTTGACAGCTAAAAACAAAATTGTTATCAGGAAAAACATTTAAGACAAAAAAAAACATAAAAAATTGAATTAAAGATGCCATCTATCATCATCCATTATGAATAAAATCAATTATGCAATAAAAAATTTTCCACCAAAAAAAACAACCACATTTGATTGATGACTTTTTATCGATGAAATGAATGACAAGATCAACAACACATAGAGATCAGAAAAAAATCATTCTAGATCAATTCAAAAAAAATGAAATTATAAATGATGACATTTAATTAATGTCATCATCATCATACATAGTAATTATATAATATGCACAAAGCCGACAACAACCATTATATTATATTCTGTGTGAAGCAAGCAAGCAAAAATGTTTTCAACTTTTCATTCATTTTGTTATGGTTGTCTATCTGTCTCATGCAAATATTATATCATCATCATCATCAAATGCATACACCGAGAATAAATTTTCACAGACTAATTGAACATAATTTCGTTTTTTCTACCTATCCATCCATCTCTCTATATACACCATACACACATAAAAGAATTTCAAAAAAAAAATCATTCAACTGGATAATATCATCATCAACCCACCAACAAACACTATCATCATCAAGCCAGGGTTAATTTTTTTTTTTTGAAAAAAAAAACAAAAATTAATTCAACCCATTCATTCATTCAATCGTTCATATATTCCCACACACAGCACATATCTACATATTGTTGGGTGCTTTTTCAAAAAAAAATCGGAATTACATAAATATCATATATCGGGAAAAAACGAAAAACAACAAAAATTCAATTTCATTTTGAACAAAAAATTATGAAAAATTCTTGTCTGTTTATGTGACTTTTGACTTTTCAAATTCAAATGATACAAGGAAAAAAGAGCTGTTTTGTTTTGCTTGATATTTTAATGACCACCACATCAATTAAATTGGACAAATGAAAAAAATGAAAAAATCAAATAAAGTCGGACATTTTATTATTGTGTGTGTCTCTTTCAGAGCAAACCAGAAAAACAAAAACAAAACAAAACAAAAAAATGTTATTTTTGGGCATTTTGTTTTTGTTTCCAATGAAAATTTTGAATGAAAAACAGAATTTTTATTGATTGCAACAAGTTTTATATTTTTATCATCATTCATTTATTCATTTTCCTCATTGAAAAACACACACACACAAAAACAAAAATTCAAGTTTCTATGGAAAAAAATTGAATTTTTGGTTTGGTCAAGAAAAAAATTAAAAATCATTATCGCTAGACCGAAAAATGGTCAAGAAATAGTGTCTGTGTGTTTAAGTGATTTATAGCGATGCTTTTTTTTCCGAAATGTGTCAAAAAATTATTATTATTAAAGATGATGATGAATATTAGTGATGGTCATTGATCAAAATGTCACCCTTGGTGAAATTTTCTTTGAGATAATTTCTTTCAACTACTGGTCATCACCAATAAATCAACGAGAAACATCAAGACACTTTTGTTTTTGTTTTTTTTTTGTTTGCAACTAAACCTTCTTTGAAATTAGAGAAAGAGACTTACACACACATCACATCACAGACAAATTAAGAATTATCAAAACCCCTTCTCCTTTTTCATTTTTCTAAGCAGTCAAAATAATGCTTAGAAAAATCTTACCTGCATAATACGTTGATGAAGTTTTTGTTGTTGATGTTGTAGTTGTTGTTGTTGATTTTTATTATTTGCAGTGAATACAATTATACGTTCTTTAGGTGATTTTGTTGCTGCTGTTGTTGCTGATGATGATGTTGTAGATGATGATAATGATAACGATGATAATGATGATGATGATGATTCCATTGGATTTAAAGTAAAATTCTTTTTGTTCATTGCCTGTTGTAAAGAAAAAAAAAGAAAAGAAATTCAGAATCAAATTCAACCAAAAAGAAAACAAAAACAAAAAACAAACATTTAAATAATTACAGTCATCTCATACACACACACACAAAATTCAGAAGTGAATCAAAAAAAAACTCTACCTGAGTAACTAATAATGATGATGATGATGATAATAAGACACCCGACAAACAAATAATAATGGTAATGATAATGGTAATAATAATCTCTTTTTCCACACACACATAATAATTATAGCTGTCAATGGCTATAATTCTTTCGTTTTTTCTTTTCTAAATATTCTATTTCGTTCGTTTGTCTATAATATTTGTGAACGAAGAAGAAAAAATGATTTTAAAAGAAAAATCATTTCAAATATAGAGGATGATAATAATGTGTCGTCGTTAGTTAGTAGTTTTCTTTTTTAAAAAAATCGTTAGCTGAGTTAGATCATCAAGGTAATATTCCGGTATATGTTTCATTTGTCAAGGAGATTTAATGAATCTATTTTTGTTTTTGTTTTAATTATCGACAACATTAACAAACAAACAAAATTGTCATCATCATCATTGATGAATCAATCAATTTAATTAATTAATTATATGTTTTGTTTTTCAGGTGAAACTAATATCTTTTTCAATTTCGATTTGACATGATAAATTTCTTTGCACCAAGATGATTTAAAACTTTTTCAAAATAAAAATGATCTCATTTCTCTCTCCCACACACGCATACACACAAGATAATAATGATGGAAAAGTTAATATGCACAAAACATTTCACAACATTAAGCAGCAATTGAAATAATGATGATTCTTTTTTTTCGAATCAATCTCTCACCCTTCTCTCTCTTACAATCGCTAAAAACATCATCATCATTTGAATAACAAAATATAATGGGCAATTTTTTTCCGCTTATTTTTTCGTTCAACTTCTTTGGTGCCAAATAATAAGTATAAATTCAATTCGTCGTCGTTCGTGATGACTGAAACGAATTTGAAAATGATTATGATAGCCCATTAACATTGATGAGCTATTGTGTATTTCGGGCATCATCATCATTGTTTCTTTCAAGTTTCTTACCTCTCTCAACATTAGTCATTTTTACTGGCTACTGGGTATATTTCTAACCTAACCTCTAACCTCTTCTTTTAAAAAATTAGATTAAATATCTCTCCCCTTCCAGCAAACACACTTAAAGAAATGTCAAAAAAATGAAAAATATCAAAATCGTGAATTGTACATTACCTTTAATTTCATATGAATTCTATTATTACGATCCAAATAAATATCATCAATATTTGACCATATTTCAAACCAATCAATTTCCCATTCATTCGATATAAATGATTGTTTTAAACAGAAACAATGTTTATCTGTTAATAATATTATTAAATGTTCCGAAATATAACAATGATAAACATATTGATCAATTTTATATTTATCACCGGCAACAGCTTTTAATAGCCAAAATCCTTTGAGAAAAATGAAAAATGTAAAATAAGAAAACAAAAAATCGAACATTACCTGTAGCTTCTTGATGAGAATAAGGTCGTATTTCTTCACGACAAAAATTTCTTGCCATACGTTTCGGACGGGCAATATTTTTCGGATCAATAGCATTATTGAATGCTTGTAATGAACCGGATGCAAAATCAATAACACAAGTGGTTGGCTGTACAACAACACCGACAACACCTTTTCCTACACCTTTGAAAAATCCCCCAAACCCCTGTTCTTTTGCACCTTCGATCGGTTTGGTTATCACACCGGTTATACCGGAAAATATTCCTTTGAATAAATTTTTTCCACTTTCAGTAAATGTTGTTTTACGGTTAATACGTTCACGACGATCTTTTTGAAATTTATCATCAATAGTTAATGTTGCAACACCAGTACCAAGACTAGAACCAATACGACTTAGAGCACCGGCCGTTCCACCAATAACATTCGATGCTAATGATTTTACACCAGTTTTCAGACCTTCAGCAAATTCATCTGGACCATGAAATATTCCAACAGCTGGTTCGTAGAAAAAATCACCAATTCCTTTTTTAAAACCCAATGCTAATTTCATTGGATTACCAATAATATCTAATCCAAGAATTAATTTATAAAATTGTGTTAATGCTTGATTTTTATAATGATCAGTAACTTGTTTCATCAGTTCTTCTTGTCCCAAAAACAATCCTTTCCTTTCAAAATAATCAAATCGAAATAGCGTATCACTAATTTCACCAACAGAACCCATTAATCGTATGAATAATTCCAACAGGAAAAATGATCTTCCATCCGATACTTCACCCAGATTAATACTCAAATGCAATTTCAATGGGCCAAACATTATAAAATCATAATATGATTTATTCATTACATATTTTTGTAATTCACTTGGGCTATTATAAAGTTCAATATAATCCATATCTTGTTTTAATAAATCTTTATTTGTTTCTTCTTTAGCCATTTCAATTTCAAATACATTCATTATTTTATAAATCCAACCCAAATCAATTTGTAATAGAAATTCTTGAATCAATAGCTGTATATGTTTATATCGATTAATTGAACCGGGACAAATAATAGCAGCAAATTCAATAAAATGTTTATGTTCAATTTCAAATTTATCCGAAATTGATTTCGGTATATCAACCGGGCAGAATACAACATCAAAAACATGATCCGATAATTGGTTATCAATTTGTATATCATTAATACGCAAATGAATATTTTTCACATGTTCCGAACTACTGAATGTCAACCATAATCCACGATTAGCGTTACGTCTTTTTTCATCAGATTCGATTAAAATGATAATAATTAATTGAAAATGAAAACTTTTCTTAAATCTGAATAAACTTACCTTAGATAACAAATTCGTGGTTTTAACATTGTCATCCGAGCAAAATCTGCTTCATAATTTGAATAATCAGATTTAATCACAGTTGCATGGCTATTCGATTGTTTCAATAGATAATGTTGAAACATGTGTTCAAGAATTTCATTTTCTTTAATTGAAACCGATTTAAATGGTTTATGTTCATCATTACGATATTCCCAATTATTTGTACTTTTTATTGATAAATACATAATATCCAGACGTCTTTCATTATCAACAATATTTAGACCGAATCCTTTTAATATTAATTCAAATGACATGTCTGGTTTGACTAATTCATGTGTCTTTTCATAAGAAAAATGATTAAAAATTTCATAAGAAAAAAACAAATTCACTTACCATAAGAAGATTACGTGGTAAAAATGAATCATGTGTAAACAACAGAACACGTTGTTTACCATCTAAAAATGATACATATGAATAACCTTCTTCAAAATTAACAATAGTATCAAAATCAATATTAACTTCAATCAATTCATCATCATCGATTGATATTTTATATTCAAGTTTTCTTTGTTTATATGGATCTAACCAACAAAAATAAACCATATGATATGATTCAATTGTCAACATACGTCGTCCATTATTCCAATCAGTAACCTGATTTTGACCATAATATACTGGATAAGTTAATGTATTTACAATCAATACAGGTGCTGCACCATCAAAATAATCACTAAGACGAATTTTTGCTTCCAATTCAGTAACATCTACTTCGACAAATACAAATTTCTTTTCAATCGATAATAATGTTTGTGATGATTCACGTAATGAAATATGTTTTGAATCATGTTTACCATTCGGTAAACGAAAACAAATTGATTGATTTGATACTTTTTTCGGATATAATGGCATCACACGATTTGATTCAATATGAAACCAATCTTCATTATTTTCTGAATAGAATATATTTTGCTTAGTTAGATTTATAACCGAATAAAACGGCTCAATATTGATAATTTTTGTCAATGGAATTCTTGATGCTTCAACACGTATCGTGACCAGATATGAATATTTTTGTTTCGGTACTTTAGGTGTTAATGTTACTTTATACGGAGCAACATCAACAGGAAAATAAACCGAATATTCAGATTCAGCGATAGCCAAACTAATTTTTGATTTTTTCGTTGTTCTATCCGGATCATAAGCAAATAGAAATGGTTTGTTTGTTTGATTTTGATCAAATCGATATTGATTTTGATTATCAACTTTCAGACTTATCAATTCATTTGTTCGATTCATTAACCAAAATGTTGAATATAATGATAAAACAATTACTGAATTTTCTACACGAAATTCAACTGGTAAAGTCATTTTTGATTTTTCTTTATCATTACATTCAAATATACAATATGTTGTTGATATTTCAAAACCGGTCATTGGTATTCTTAACATGGCCATCCAATCAGCATTCAAATAGTTTAAAAGTTGAAATTTTATCACTAATTCAAAGAAAAATTGTTAATGACAAAATTTTTTTTAAACAACTACTAACCTGAACTACCAAAATCGATAAATGGTAGATTAAATTCTTCACCCGGTTCTAATGTACGAAGTTCATTCAATGGACTATATAAAAATCGTATTGAAAATGGAAGCAGATTTTTCAATCTTGCTAATGGTATCATTTTGATTGTATACAGATAGGATTCATTGTTTTCCATACGATTAGTATCTTCATATGGAACCAATGTTTTTTCACCACGTAATTTTATAACAAATTGTTTATCAGTTTTTTTGTTGGCACATTTAATCAATAAATATGGTTTTTCTTTCGGCAATGAACTTTTACAATGATTATTATGTTCACGTTCACATGTTTCACGCCATAAGAATGGTGGTCGACATAATTCATAATCATCGGTTGGTTTGACATATAATGTATTATTTCCATAAATCAATGGTAACGGTAGATTAAATGTTGAATGTGGATCAATATGACCAATATGATTCAAAGCATTATCATCATCATTCTTTCCGCCACTACTTTTATTAATCATATTATATAATTCAAATGAATTATCAAAATTATTCATAATTTGTGTATTTGAACGAAATATTATTTCCTTCATACCACCATTATCGATAATTTGAACCAAAAATTTCCAACATTCATCAACTGGATAACTTTTTATCGATGTAAAATAACAACGTATCATATTTTTTCGACAAACAATACTTCTTTCCACCAATAATGAATCCGAAATCAATATATTGATATGTAGTAAAATATCATTTGGATCTTTACATTGAAAACGATATTCTTTACCAGATTCAATAACCATCTTCATTTGATCATTTGTTGTAGCATTACGAATTGATTGTTGTTGTTGTTGTCTACGATTATTATCATTATTATTCGACAATGGTGAAATATTTGATTGATTTAACAGTAGATTAATATTTAAACCAAGATAATTTTTCACTACAACACGATTCAGTTCGGCTATTTGTGATTGTTGCCGGGATGTATTGATGGCACGTTGAAATGCATCATTTATATGATGTAAAACATTTATCGATGATTTTGTTAATAATAATTCTAAATTTTCTTGTGCAACAATTTGAATTTTTTTCATTTCACCCGACAATGAAACATTACCACGAAATGTAAATATACGTTCATCAACTGGTTCGATTAATGGTTCCCACGATAATATTGAATAATTATAATAATCCGACCATAATGAACATTCAAAATTAAAATTCTTATTTTCAATCAATTTGGCAAATAATGACAGTTCGATACGTATCAATGGATGTGATTCAATACCACCGGATTTAATTAGAATATGAATTTTTCCCATATTAAATAAAAGATTACTTTTTTGTTGTTCATATTGTTGTATACTTTCTTGTAATAATGATAATGCTTCTTTTGCTTGTGGTGCATATGTTAAATACCAAAGATTTTTATCAATTTTTTTCGGTTCTAGAATACAATCATCAATATCGATACGATCATTTTTATCTTTTGTTTGATCAGTTAATGGTGCAGGTGATTCACCTAGCGCTGCCAAAATATTCAAAATTGTATGCAACATATTTGGTGATATATTTATATAGATATCATCGAATGTAAAATCCAACATTTGTGTTTCACCTTTTATCGATCCTTTTATAGTCAAATCAGTTGGTGCCATAATATAAACATCCAGATTACCCGAATGAATATAATTCAGATAATTTGTTAATGCCATATTAATTTGTGAAATATATGCACTCATTACGATAACATCATCTTCAATTTTTGCATTAACTTTGGTTGAACAATTAAAAACGCCAGCTTCACAATTTGAATTATCAATCGATTCAAGCATGAATATTTCCATCTTATTCAATGAACATTCGATCATCATTTTTGATTTATCCGATGATTTTTTCGTTACCGGTGTCGCAGTTGTTGTTAGTGAAAGTAAATTTTTTGCTGCCGTAGTTTCTGTCGATAATGTTTTGATAACATTGGTAGCAGTTGGATTTGGACCAACAATATCATCCATTGAAAATGCTTTGGTTGATATTTCCAACAATGCTAGTATATAATCAACAGCCAATATTAAACTAAATCCAGACATTGTTAATATCACTATTCGTTCGTTGATTTTTTGTGCCAAATAAACTTTAAGCATTGATTTTTCACCATCTTCTTCAATTATTTCATTATTTTCCTGTTGTTGTTTATCGACAATATTTACTCTGGATTTCGATAACATTGTAACAATACCACTAGGTTTCCGTTGTGGTCGTATATCATCAATACGTAAATCATTTACCGTACAATCCATCCATAATGTTTGATCACTTAATGTTTCACCATAAACATTCAATTTTAATAATTGAAATCTAGTCAATTTGGATATATCACGACGATCATTACGATACATTGTCAGATTGATATTATTCAATTTAAAACTAAAAATTATTTCACGATGTACAACAATCGTTCCTTTTGCATCGACATCATCTTCATCACTTTTGATTTGTTCATCTTTTTTTCGTTGAATTTCCGAAATAGCACGTGCAGCATAATTCATTGCATCAATAACTTCATCCGATACTTTTATCGATTTTGCTAACGTTATTGTTGATTTGGTTGCTGTTGAATGATGAATTGAATCTGTTGTTGTCGTACTATTATCAATCGATCCAATAGTTGGTCCATATGGCAAAGTTGATAATAGAATCAACAATTGTGATACTTGACTATCACTTGCTTTCAAATCAATCGATGGTAATTGTCCTTCAAGATTGATTTTTGGAAAATGACGATCATTCGGTACAATTGAACGATGAATATTGATGATAATTTCAAATGGACAAAGTAAATGACGTTCACTATCTAAACTATGTAGATCTTCTTGCCAATGATCACGTGAACTTAAAACAATTTGGACATTTTTAACATGACATGTATATGTTTCATAGATCATTTTTTTCATTTCATCAACATTTGTCATACTGGTTATTCGATTTGCATTCGATTTTGGTACCAATTTTGATTGTAACGTAAATTCACCCAATGAAACAATTAGCATTACGTTTGCCCGATCAAATTCAGCTTTTTTCGGTATTATTACAAATGATGGTTCAACTTTGATCTGTAATTTTAATTGTTTATGTTTATCAATAGCATTCTGTAATTGTGATGATGTTACCAAACGAAAATCTTCGAATCGATTTTGTGCAGCGGTTTTTATCTCATCCAAACAAATATTTTCCGGTGGTGTAAATAATCGATAAAGATGATTAAATGTTTGAATATCATAAAGAAAATGTAAACTTTTCATTTCCATTAGAATGTTAAAATCACTTTGTTTATCCAATGGATTCATTTCGAATATTAATGTTAAAAATTGTTTTTCCACTGTACTTTTCATTAAGGCAACATTATTCGTACCGGTTATTCGAACCAAATCCATTCGATTTTCAACAACCATATTACCGGTTGATGGACGATTTTTGAAACCAAAACTAAAATTTTCCAATTCAACATTAGCTATATTGGTAAATTCACTACGCAATGTTAGATTAAAATGATTAATACGAAATTGCATACGATGTGCAACATAATCCGGTGGATAAAGTATAGCTAATGCATTTTCTTCATAACCAATTGCCTTGTAAAGTTTTTGTTTTTCTTCACCTTGGGTGAATTCTTTTTTCAAATCTTCAATAACTGATTCTTCATTTTCATTTTTATCCGATGGTGATGACCACCAATTACGAAACCATCCTTTTTTTGATTTTTCTTTCTCCATTTGTGTTAGAATTTTTTTCGTTGCTAATTCAGCTTCAGCTCTGGCCATAACAATTACAACTAGATTTAATTCACGTTCCAATTCTTCTAAATCCTTATCCAAATTTTGTTGTTCAAGTAATTTTCTTTTATAAAGATCTGTATATGTTCGACGACGACGACAAGCAGCTTCAATATGATCCCAGGAAAATTCCTGTTTTCGACGACGTATACCAGTTTCAGTTATGGCTGAATATAAAAAACGCCACCATGATTGTGGATCATCTGTGAAAAACACAAAACAGAAAAGAAATAAATATTAAAAAACGGAACTCTCATTGCCTTACCATGAATCGATTTAATGGGACGCCATTTACGATATAAACTAGCAACATTCATACGATCAATAGCATCCAATAATAATAATAAACAATGAACTTGATGATTATCAAATTTAATTTGAAAATCACTTAGATGCATATCTAAATCAAATATTGAATAACGATAATTTGATGCTTCTGGTTTACGATCAATTTGAGCATAGGTAACAAAATTATTTGGACATAGAACATAATTTACCGATGATGATTTGGATTTGGATTGTTCAACATCGAAATATGATTTCAATTGTGCCAATACTGTTTGACGATCATTACCATGATAACGTTCGAATTGGCCATGATTCAAATACATTGCCGAACCTTCAAGTTTAATAATTTTATTGATAATATTATCATTTGTTGGATCATTTTTGACATCAGTATTATTATTATTGTTATTTGTTTCAGTTTCGAATATTAAACGTGAAAATGCCAAACCAATTTGAAATGGACGTGGACCAGATGTACTATCTTCATAGCAAACATGTATGTTTGATATAAAAATTTGAATATTTTTTATAGCTGCAGCAATTAATTTCATAAAAAAACCATCATCCTGTACTTTAGATTGACCATCCGATTCTTGTTCCAGTTTTTGTTTAATTTGTTCAATATTATCCAGATGAGATTTTTTTAGCTGCCATTCATAATCTTTTTCATCTTTTTCATTATAAATAACTTCAGTATTTGGTACAACCACAGCATATATATCACTGATTCGTATGACAATCGGTTCGGTATAGATATTCATCCATGGTACTTGTGCTTCAATTTGCCCGATAAAACCATGTGTAACACGAAATGGTAATCTTACCAAATCAAATGCATTTGGTTTAATATTGACATTTTTCAATGTAAATTGTCCACTCCAACCAAATATACTTAGTTGATCGGCATTAAAATCTTCGACAAATGGTGAAAGAAATTTATTCATCAAACTTGTAACGATATTTGATAAAACCATTTTTATTGAGTTAGTTTAATACACCCACCACTAACCAAAATACGAAATGACAAGAAATTTGTTTACTTTTTGATTGACAGAAAAAAACAACAAAAAATAAATAAAACTTTTTGATTATAACAACCAACAATCCAACAGGTAGGTTGATTGATTTACCTGATGTTGTTTATTATCAAAACAGGTAACTGTATTGTTTTGATTGAAATTTTTTCTTTCTATATAATGCTATGTGCGACAAAATAAAAAAACATAAAATGATCGATCACCATTAACAACAAGCAGATTATTTTTGTATTTATATGCAACACATTCTCTTTCAATAACTAAATCATAATTGAATTAAATCAACAGTTGAAAAATATGAAAATGAAAACGAAGTTTGTCGAAACAACAACAACAAAAAAAAACATTCGAAATCCAGATGGTTCGAATTTTTTTCAATTTTTTTTCAATTCCAAGACGTACACTATGAAGGGTCAGGATTCGTAAAATTTTCAAAAAAAATGAATTTCTTTTCATAAAGATTTTTAGGAATCAAGAACAAAAAAAATGTGTTGGAACATGTCTTTTCGCTTAAAAATTTTTCCCTTAAATTTAGCTTTAAAGAAAAGGATGCGCACGACTCATTCACCAGTAAGTCATATAATCATTAACCTAACCTAACTGAGCTATAAGTCAATAATTGACAGTGAAAGTCATCAACCTAACCTAACCCAACTTGACTATTGGTCAATAGTCATAGTCATCAACCTAACCTAACCTAACTCAACTATTAGTCAATGGTCATAGTCAGCAACCTAACCTAACCTAACTGAACTATAAATTAAATCGGATTAATTTTTTTTTTGTTGAAAAAAATTCAAATTTTTCAATTTATCGAAACTATCGATAGTATTGAAAATTTCGATACTCAAAACAATCATCATTGTTATAACAGAACATATTGTTTTGTCAATGCAAATCATCAAAGCAATTATCAAACAAAAAAAATCCAAATAGGCTTAGCTTTTTTTTGCAACGTTATCAATATCTTCTTTTTTTTCTGTCCTTGGTTACCAATGATTAATGTTCGTTATCATTATAAAACGTTGGCTAAATTATAGTCGAAATTTTCCTGTGAATTTTTTACTTAAACAAACACCGAAGCCACTAAATTATTGCCAGATTTTATCAACAAAAATTGACGGAATTGATTCTTGTTTTTATAGATTTTTTAATAATAACAACAATAATAAAATGTATGATTGGAATAATTTACCACGACCAAATGTGATATTTGTACTTGGTGGTCCGGGTGCTGGTAAAGGTACCCAATGTAGTTTGATTAGTGAGGTAAAAAAATGTTTCATTAAGATGATAAAATCAACCCAAAATAACCATTTTCTTTGTTTTTGTATAGAAATTTGGCCATGTACATTTATCGGCCGGTGATTTATTACGTAAAGAACAAAATACTATTGATTCAAAATATGGTGAATTAATTGCCGAACATATCAAAAATGGAACAATTGTACCGGTTGAAATTACCTGTAAACTGTTGATGAATGCAATGTTAGAAAATATGATTGCATTAGCTGAACAGGCAAATGAAAATGAACAAAAATCAATAGCTGTTGGAAATTTTCTTATCGATGGTTTTCCACGAAACCAAGATAATCTGGATGGTTGGCGAAAATTTGTTGGCGATAAAGTTAATGTTGAATTGGTTTTAGTTTTGGAATGTCCTGAACAAATTTATCTGGAACGTTGTTTGAAACGTGGTCAACATTCTGGCCGTGCTGATGATAATCCGGAATCAATGAAAAAACGTCTGGATACACATCTAAATCAAACAATGCCTATTGTTAATTATTATGAAAAATTAAATTTAGTCAAACGTATTGATGCAAGTCGTACAATCGATGAAGTTAATGAAGAATGTTGTAAAATTATACAATCATTAATGGCTGAACGAAAATGAAAAAAAAAACAAATTTTTGATCAAAAAATTTCAAAATAAGAATTTTATTCCAAATTTGGAAAAAATGCCGGCTTTTTTAAAAAATAAAATGAATTTTCAAAAAAAAAAAATTTTGTTCGCTTAGTTATGAACGGCTCTTTTTGTTTTGTTTTGTTGATGTTTTTTTCTGTTCATTTCGGCGCGATTTTGTTTTTTGTTTTGCAATTTTCATTTCAATCAAATTTTCTGTTTGTTTGTTTTCAACAATAATGGATGTTTGTGAATTTATTGCCGAAGATGATTTGATTGAAATTGTACCAACATTTCGTTATGATCGTCAATTGAATTTAATTACAGGTGATTTTGGTCCATTTCGTCCATCAGTACCGGTTAAAGTACCAATGTGGTTGGCAATCAATTTACATCGACAAAATAAATGTTCAATCATTTCACCAACATGGATAAATGATTTACCAAAACTGCAAGATGCACAAGCACAAGAAATGAACCGGTTATTACCACCACCAAACGAACATTGGCGTGAAACATTAAAATTATTGGAACAAGAATTTGGACGTAGTATACAATGTTCTGAATTGATTGAACGACGTGAAGCAATATTGAAAAAATCCGTACATGAATTATTTCGTGAAGCATATGATAAAAATCAAATGTTTATCGGTGATGTAACATTGGATAATGCAACATCAGCCGAATTAATTCTAGTAAAAGAAATGATTGCAAAAGGTTTTAAACGTTTACAAGAATTACGTCGTAATGTATTATTAGCATCGAATCGTAAACATTATTGATAAGAAGTGATGAAAAACAGCAAAATTTCCATGAAAAAAAAATTGTAACTGTAATTTTTTTCCTCCACTTAAAGCAAATTCCCAAATAAATCATTATTATTGTAAAAACAAGATTCAATTTCATCATCAATATTTTTCCTGTGAATTTATCATTTCTCTCTTCTGTGTTTTTTTCCAATATCCGTTCTCTTTTTTTTTCTATCGTTTCATTTCGCCTCATTCATATCACGAATGAGAGAGAGAGAGAGTGAGAGAGAATATTTGTTTGACTATCCGGAGATACAAACGGAAAATGGAAAATTTGAATATTGGAAAATAAAAAACACAGAAAAAGGTCAATAACAACCATTTTTCTCTCACTCTTCTAATCAAATTACAATGATTTTTTTTCGAATGATTATTGTTTTTTACTTTTTCTTTCTGAACGATGACGACGACGACGAACAAACAAACAAACAAATTCGATTCATCATTCATTTTTTCCATTCATTGCTGCTGTATATATGCATAACAACACATGCATGTATAAATGTGTGTTTGTTTTCATTTCTCAAACTTCAAAAATCAATTGAGTATATGTAATGTTTATTTTTTTTTTGAAAAATAAATTTTTTTTTTTTGTAATCATCATCATTATCATCAAAAGTTGTTTGACCATTAACAAAGGTAAGTGTTACTTGCTATAAATACAAGTTTTTCCTTATATATAAAAAACATCTTAAGTGTTTTTATTTTTTACTGTTTAACAGTAAATAGGTTCCCTCCTTTTTTTCCTTAATCAATCAATCAAATGATGTTGTTTTTGATAATATAAACTGATCATCATCATTGTACGTTACGTTGTTGTACCTAATTCATTATTATCATCAAATTTCTCATCATCAATTTTTTTTAAACAAAAAAATGGTGTCTTTAGATATCGATATTGATGATGAATGATCGATCGATCAATGTTCATACTTTGTATTTTTACCATTATCATCATCAAATTAGATCGACGATAAATTAATTTAATAATTTTCTGTGTTCGTGTCGGCAAAGTCATTCTGCATATCATTGTTTGAAACCTAGTTTTTATTAATATAAATCCAAATTTTATTTTGTGGAAAAAAAAATGTTTAAAGAAAAAATTTTACCAAAATTAATATTATTAAATACACGTTTAATACTTGGAACATATACAGCATTTACATTACCATTTTATACAATATTTCAACGACCATGGCGTGTATTATCCGCATCCAAACAACAATGGGCAACCAAAGAAAAATCCGCCGATGGACAATATTATTATTGGAAACGTTTAGGACCACCAGTTACATTACCAAATGATTATCATCTTTGTAATACATTACAAGAAGTTTATTTAAAAATGAAAAAATTTGAAGATTTAGAAAAAGATAAACTTGGTTATCGTGATGTTCTATCGGCTAAAATGAAATATGATTCTAATGGTTTGTTTGTTTTTTAAATTCTTCTTATTTTCCTCTGAATTAACTCTTTTCTTCTGTTTTTCAACCACAGGACAACCAATTCGACAAGATGGTCGTATAGTTAAAGAAATCAAATTAGCCAATAAATATACATGGTTGAAAACAAAAGATGTTTTCGAAAAATTCGAAGTTATTGGTTCTGGTTTTAAACAATTAGGTCTTACAAGTGATGATCGTGTTATAATGTTTGCCGATACACGTATCGAATGGTTTATATCATCATTTAGTTTAATGTTATTTCAGATACCGATTGCAACATTATTTTCCAATCTAGGTAATTTCCTTTTCTATTTCTTTAACTTTATCAAAATCTAATTTCATTTCTTTCCCAAAAAAAACAGGCAAAAAAGGATTCGTGTATGGGGTAAATCAACAAAAAGCACGTTGTATTGTAACATCATTTGATTTACTTGAAAGAATTCTTGATGTTGTTGATCAAATACCAACCGTAGAGAAAATTGTTTATATGCAATATAATTTTCAAAAAGATCAACAATTACCAAAATTTCCCGATCGTATTCAATTAATATCATTTGATCAATTAGAAGAAATTGGTCGAAAATCTTTGATAAAAATACCGAAAAATCTACCAAGTAGTGATCAAGTTTCGGTTATAATGTATACATCAGGTACAACCGGTATACCAAAAGCAGTTTTGTTTACAAATAAACAATTAATGTCGGCTATTACTTGTTTGGCAAGTAATGTTATTGAAATTGCCGATCAAGGACCAAGACATAGATATGCATCATTTTTACCATTAGCACATAGTTTAGGTTTTACATTTGAATGGTTTTTATTTTGTGGTGGTGTTCAAATTGGTTATAGTAGCCCGTATACATTAACCGATACATCACCAGGTAATCCACCTGGACAATTTGGTGATCTAAAATTACTTCAGCCAACAACATTAGTCAGTGTACCATTAATATTGGATCGTATTGTTAAAGAAATTTATCTGAAATTATCAGCACGTTCACCAATTCTTCCGCCATTATTTACATATCTGATGCAATATAAAATACGTTGGTTAAATCGTGGTTATCGTACGCCATTATTGGATAAAATTGTTTGTCGTCGTGTTCAAGAACAATTCGGTGGTAAATTAGAATTTATTATCTGTGGTGGTGCAGCATTGAATCAAAAAACAGAAGAAATTATTCGTGCTGCATTGAATGTTAAAGTTATGACTGGTAAATTTTTCAAAAAATTTCGAATGTAATTTCCCTTGATGATTCTCTTTTTCTATTAGGTTATGGTCTAACTGAAACAACTGGTGGTGTAACAGGAAAAACTTTGAATGATATGACATCAGGTATGGCTGGTGCACCAATGGAAGGCGCCATGATACGTTTAATTGATTGGAAAGAAGGTGGTTATTCATTTGATGATAAACCAAATCCACGTGGTGAAATTGTTATCGGTGGTGATAGTGTTGCACAAGGTTATTATCAATTGGAAGATGAAACAAATGCTGTATTTAAAACCGATTCGAATGGTGTACGTTGGCTGCATAGTGGTGATATTGGTGAAATGTTTCCAAATGGTTTATTGAAAATTATTGATCGTAAAAAAGATTTAGCTAAATTACCAAATGGTGAATATATATCATTGGGTCGTATTGAAGGTGCTATTAAAACAGCACCAACGGTTGAAAATTGTTGTATTTGTTTGCATGAAAAAATCAATGATATTGTTGCATTGATAACACCAAGTGCTAAAAAATTAAAAATTTTAGCTGAAAAACTTAAAAAATCCAATTTAACTTATGAACAATTATGTTCAGATCCTCAAATTAATCAAGCAATAATGGAAGATATACGTGAAGTTTGTTTACAATCTGGTTTAAGTGAAAAAGAAATACCTAAAAAAATTGCCATTTGTCCGGAAGAATGGTCACCAGATAATGATCTATTAACATCGGCATTTAAATTGAAACGTAATTCTGTTTTGAAATATTATGCAAAAGATATTGATAATTTATTTCAATCGACAACAACAACAAAAATGTGAATTTTTTTTGAAATTTTTTTTTTTTATAGACATTCAATGAATTTACTGTAATAATCGCACAATTCTTTATTTTGATAATCATTTTTTTCGACATTGACTGATTATGATTTTAATTAAATTAATGGAAAAACAAAACAAAACTCCCATTCAGAAAACAAAAATCCAGGAAATGACATAATTTTGAAATAATCCAAAATGTTGTCAACAGAAAAATTTGAATGAAAAAAACCTGGTTTTTTGAATAGGTCATTGATTTGCCCAGAAAAAAACACCCATTCAAATATCGAAAAATTGATTGATTTTATTAGATTTTTTTTCTGCTTGGATAATGTTGAATAATCAAGGTAAAATGGTCACGAAAAAAAATTTGATGATTGTGATGGTCAAAGGGTTAATTATGTAAAGCAATGATTAGAATGAAAAATAAAACAAAAAGAATTTTATCCACAATTTGTACGATAATCAAATTGGATTGTGATATATTTGATCGTGATTTTGTCGATGTTTGATTCGTTTGTCCATTTTCCAAATCATTATTTGTTAATTGTACTGATTCAATATCTTTACTAATCAGATAATGTTGTAATGGTTCAATCGAACGCATTACGAACGCAGGTATTTCAAATGTTGATCGTATAAAATTCAATGAAAAAGCAAACCATAATAATGTAAATGTTGTTAGGATAATCATCTGGCCAATGTATTTTACTTTTGAGATAAAAAAAGATTAAGATCAGAAAATTAAGAATACAATCTATAGATACATACTGACTTTAGGAATACCCAATGAACCGAAACCAAGTTTATTACCCAAAAACAATGCAATCAATAATAATGTTATAAAACATAATATACTTAGATGAAAACGTAATGGATTACGTACATCCAAAAATAATGCCATTAAATTTAAAAATAAAACACTAATTATAGGAAAATAAACAACATAACGATAAATTGATGTTTTACGATGAATATTTATGGAGAAAACAACTTCGGGAAAAAATTGTCCACCTTCATTTGTATCATGTACCATATATTCACATGATGAATCAATAATATCCCATTCAGAATTTTCTGAAAAACTTGTTAAATCAATTTTGTCCGCTATTTGATCGATAATTGTTATTAATCAACCGAGTAATCAATCAATTTTTAAAAACTTACAAACATTAACTAGATTCAGTGCATCACCATCATATGTCCATGATGCAAAACGAAATAAACATGTTTGTTGATCAAATGGCCATTCAGTAAGATCAATTTCACAAATAGTTTTCATTGATAATGCTGGCATCCAAAATATATCACCGGAAAACCATAATATCAGATCGGAATGTGTTGTCGAACGGATAATATTTTCACTATCAGCCGAATTAATAATAGTAATATCAGGACGAAATACTTCATCAACATGAACACGAATATCTTCTATACCACCATATTCACTACGTTTCCATTTAAGATTTTCATCAATCCTTTCCCCAGTGGAAAAAAAATCAATTCAAATAAAAAAACATCACCATTGGGCTTACCAAGACAGACGAAGCCATCCTTCCGTTTCAAGCATGTTTGTTTGAATGTCCAGATTTTTAATATAATTTATATCCAAATAAATTGAAACATTCACTGGATGTGTATAATTTTTAACCGGCCTTGCCATTATATCATAGCCACGATTTTTAAACAATTCTTTACGCAATTCAACAATATGATCTAAAAGTTTTTTTGAGGGAAAAAAATGTATCAAAATCAATCAATTTTTTTTTAAAAAGTTTTCTTCGATTACTTCGAATTTCAATACTAGAATCATCACAATCAATCTGATTGATTGATATGAATGTAACAATGATGAAAAATGATAATAAAATTTCAAAAAAACGATAACCAAACGACGACATTATGATGATAATTCCAAAATTCAAACTTTTAATTAACTTTGAAATCGCTAAACAATTAACACACACACACACCAAATGATGATGATTATGATGTGAATAATAATCATAAACGTTTTTTTATATAGATTTAAATTTCACAAATCACAAATCACAAATCATCATCATTATTAAATGAACAATGTTTGATTTTGTCGTCGTCGTCGTTGTATTCGACATCATTTTCATTTCATTATCCGTTACTGGTATCCCATTGCATATCTATCATTAATCATTTAATCGTTGTTGGTGGTGGTTGTGATGGGGAAAACGAAAAATCATTTCCACACACACTCACAATGCCAACTTAACCATCATTTGATCAAATCACATTCAAATATATTATTGATTTCTATCAGAAAAAAGTTATAATCCTCCTAACTATCTGATTACGAACAACAACAAATTGTATATTACAAAAAGAGATATTTTTGCATTCTTCATCATCATCATCATATTTCATGGCCAATAAAATTCAATCCGATAATAATGAAAAAAAATAAAAATAATCTTTTCTCTTTTCTTACTTTTTCCATAATATGTTTGGTTTTAATTAATTTTATTTTATAGAAACAAAAAGGGATAGACAGATTAGTAAAATAATCATCGTTATTAAATGCCAATATTTAAATTATGTCCATTAATTTCATAGTAAAAAAATGTATTATAATCAATTGATTCATCATTGGTTACAGTACGAATTACTTCTTGTGATAAAAATCCACCAACAATACTGCTTATAAAACTGAATTGACCATAGATTTTTTTTGTCCAATTATAATTCATTGTGGTGGTGGTCGTCGATGTCCATCGTTGTTGTTGTTGTTGCTGCTGTTTATCATCACCATCATTATCATCATCGTTTTGTTGATTCAATTCATCCAAGATTTCCTGTTCAATTGTTTTCAATTGATTTTCAATCTGTTGTTGATCAGATTCAGTCAAAACATTGGGAAATTCACCCATTTTTTTATGATAACGAAATATGGTTAATATTGAAAGAAATAAACTTTTTAAATTTTCAATTTTTATCATTTCACGTTTTGATATGTTTTCCCCTTGTCGTCGTCGACGACTATTCTTTAATGAAATTGTTTTCTTTTCGAATGCATCACCAATCGGAACAAAATCAATACCATTATATTGTTTTCCAATATCGATAAAAGTCATTGATAAATAACCCCATGAACAAGTAAAAAAGAATGGTATACAAAGTTGATGACAAAATTCATTAAGTTTACTAGCCATATCTAATCCATTGTTAACAAGTATAACAACATTGAATGACTTTAGAAAATTTTTCGCTTCCATTTCATCGGATAATAATGTTGATAATGTTTGATCTTTCATTATGTTAACTTTGACCATTGGATTCAATTGATTGACAGCTTTTTGACATGCTTCTGCACGATTCATACCAATCTGATTTTGGCTAAATATATTGTTTAACATATCGAATTGTGAAACAGGTTGATCATCAAGTATTGTTATCGAATTAATACCGGCTAAAACTAAATTCTTGACCACTTCAGAAGCTAATCCATCCAAACAAACAAGAAAAACATCTGTAGCACGAATTTTTTGCTGTGCATTTACACCCCAAAGACGAATTTGTCGATCATAAACTTTTGCTTCTTCATCGGTAAACATTTTTGTAAAAAATTTGATAAAAATTTAAAATTTAAAAAAGTTTGGAATTTTTTTCCGAATTAAAAATCGCGAGTGATGGTTTCGGATTGCGATGAACGAAACTATCGATAGTTTTGAGTTATATAAATCGAATTGATTGTTTTTTTTGCAATGTTGGTAGGTGTATCATCAAACATTGTTGACACACACTCGATCATCATTCCTGAATTATTGTCCTTGTTCCATATGATTTATTATTCCATTAATTAGATCAGATTCTAAAGAATTTTATTCCAAATCTCATCATCAAAATGAGTGTATCAGCATCAGTCCATTATGTTCTTCAAGCGACCACATTATTTACATTGGTCTGCATATCACTTTATTATTGTCTTACTGGACGTGGTCGCCGTGCTGGTGATATTGGATGGTTTTTAGAAGGTTTGATTGTTTTTTTCCCGAAATAATCATTATATAATCATTAATCTACGTTCGCAGGTATTTCACCATACATGTGGGCATCGTTAGGTGTTGGTTTATCAATTTCATTATCGGTAGTTGGTGCAGCTACTGGTATATTTACTACCGGTTCATCAATTGTTGGTGGTGGTGTAAAAGCACCACGTATACGTACAAAAAATCTTGTATCAATCATTTTCTGTGAAGCTGTTGCTATTTATGGTATTATTATTGCAATCGTTATGTTGAATAATATCAAAGAATTTGATGAATCCAAAGTATCCGATATACAACGAGCAAAAAATTATCTAGCTGGTTATGTCATGTTTGGTGCTGGATTAACTGTCGGTTTGGGTAATCTATTTTGTGGTCTGGCTGTTGGTGTTGTTGGTTCAGGTGCTGCATTAGCTGATGCTGCTAATCCGAATTTATTTGTTAAAATTTTAATTGTCGAAATTTTTGCCTCGGCTATCGGTCTTTTTGGTTTAATTGTAGCCGTCATATTGAACGCAAAAGCTGAAATGGGTGAAAAATGAAGAAAAAACGTCGATCAATTTGTCCACGAATATATCCAATCATTTGCTTGTTTTCTGCACACCAAAATAATTTTTTTTCGCTGTTTGTTTTATTGTTATTTATGTAAATTTATCCAAATCATCAACGTGTGTCATTCATTTCATTCATATTTTATTCAAGAAGAAAAAACAATATGTAATTCGATTCGATATATTATCCCCTAGTCGAAAATTGTGTGTTAATTAATCGAATTAATCAATAAATTATTCTAGAATCAAATTAAAACAAATTTTATTTCAATTTTTTTGTTTTGTTTTGTTTCATTTTCGACTGATGATCAATCAAATGATGTGACCTAATCAAAAACAATGAAAATCTTCATTTGGATCAGCATTTGGTTGATTTTGATGATAAAAATATCCTGGGAAAAACAAAAAGATAATCAACAAAAATGTCAACCACCAACGGGAAAATATCCCTATAAACGTTCATTAATATTACCATATCGTTCGGATTATTCGTTTGAATGTTTTACCTGTTTAAAGGATACAAAACAATTAAATTCATTATGGAAATTTTTATCATTCTATGAAAGTCGGTTATATAATATTGGACAAGTACAAGATGTTGATAAAGAAAAATTAATTGAAATTGATAAATCAACCGGTACGCTTACCTTTCGTAAATTACGTAGAAGTGGTACATTTTATTGTATTTATCAATCAAAAATTTTAGCCATGTATCGTGTTACAATATTACGTAATATCCAGCAAAAAACATTACGTTATATTTTGAATAGAAATGATTCGAATAGACAAATGATTGATGAAAAAGTTCATGATGATTATTTTGTCATACACGAAAATGGTCCAAAATTACAGATATTTTTTCAATTATTATATGAAACATCGTGTAATGAAAATCGTCATTATTCATATGGACAAACTGTTTATGTTTGTATGATACGAATTGCTGATGATTCGGCTAATGAAACATTAGCCATTCATAATAAAAATGAACCACTTTTAATAACAAAATTAAAAGAATTTCATGAAATTCCATGTGAAGATCCATTAGCTGAACGTGTTGTTGATGCAAATTTTCAACAATCATCATCATTGTTGAAAAATATTCGTGTAGTAATTGCCTATAAAATTTGTCAAAATATTGACATTCAACAATATCGTAGAGCAGAATCAGAAACGATTGCATTTATGCAAATTCGTTCAATGTTTCAATCATCCGAACATATTAAACGAAAAATAAAAGAATATACTGTTATTACTTGTTATCGATTTAATCAATCATTAGATTTACAAAAAATCACACCAATCAGATGGAATAAAATACGATTTGATTATGATTTGGATGAATTGTATCATGAAAGTACAAAACCAGCAAAAGAATTATCACAATGGATATCACCATTTTATCTAGAACATTCTACAAATGGTCGTATATTTATCGATTGGTTTGGTAATATTCATATAAAATCATTACAAAAATTTGATTTACGTTTAATATTTCGGTTAGTTAATTTTTTGTAATTTGTAAAAAAATAATGATTCTTATTTATGATCTTTATCTTTTACACTTCTTCACAGATGCTATAATGATTCATCATTATCACAAACAGAATCGAAATCGAAATCCAAATTAAATGCTATACGTATTATAAAAAAACATTGGCATCTACCATCATTATATGAAATATTGGGTATAAAATATTCAACATTTAATATTATAATATTTGTTTTGTTAATGTTAACATTTTTCTTTACATTGATTATTATGAATCAATTTATACGGATTGATGAGAAAATTTATTAGTGTAAAAATCAAAAATTGAAAATAAAATTTTTTCAACGAAAATCTTATCGATTAACCAATATCGATCGATCGATCGTCGGTAGTAATCGAAAAAATCAATCAATTCCATAATAGGATTCTATCCACAAAACGACGTTATTTGATTGATTTTTGAAGCAATTTCAAAAAAAATCGATCATCAAATTGATTTCTTTTTCAATCACCATTTGAATTGTGTAATTGTGTCCTCACTTATTTTCTTCTTCTTTTTATAACATTGGACATCGTTATTTCACCAAAAAGAAACACCATTCGGTTCTTCCATAATCAAAATTCGAGCACACACATCAATCGATTTGGCCATTGTAAAAATCATTATCATCATTGTGTTTTCAATGATAAAAGAAAGAAACAACTTGATTCAATTCTCTTCTTTTTTCTGTATGTGTTGTTATTCTCGCTACTACATTTTGTTCATCATCATCAAACGATTGTTGTGGTTTTTTTTTTAAAAAAATTGTTCTGCGAGAAAACTCGTACTTTGACTTGGTGGATAGTTTGAATGAATGAATGAATGGTAACCCTCTTCTGGTTAACTTATAAAACATAGCTGTGAACATCGACATCATCATCATCATCATCGGTATCGAACCAAACGGGAACGATTGTTTTTTTTACCAAACTAAACAACACACACACCATACGACGATGACGACCAATCGATAGACTTATGACAATGACAATGAATTGAATTTAAAAAAATGAAAAAAACCAGAGATCTTTTCTCTTTTTATTCAATCAAGTTGAGAACAAGATTCTTTTTCTTCTTCATTGAATATTTTTCAAGCATCAACCCTCAACCCGAAACACTGCGCTCGCGGCTAACCGTCTCTTTCTTTTCTCTCTTCCTCTCTCTCCAACTAACCAGCCAATTCAACACATACCTGTTATATGTCAATGGCTGCTATTTCGACAACGACGGTAATAACCGAACAGCAACAACCGAACAACAAGAATGATGATGATGATGATGGCCATGGGCATTGAGAGGATAAAAACCTTGATCAAGCTACCGTCGTTTTGATCAGTTTTGGATTTCATTTCTTTTCGTTCATGTTCACAATCGAAGAACTTTTCATCAACATTTTCTTCAGCAACAAAAAAATATTCATTCCCGATCGGAATCACGATCACAAAGACGAAAAACGAAAATTTCTACATGTGAAATAAAATCATAATCAATCAATCAAATCCAACCAAGAAAATATCGTCAAAAAAAGCGGTAAGTTTTTCCAAGAGAATCGTGTATAGAAATGGAAATTTTTTCATTTCGTTAATTATATATCACAGGCACAAAGCTTTTTATTGAATTATTACACCAAAATGTAATCAATCAATCAAAGAATTTACTTTTTATTTACTTTTTATTTATTTATCCGATCGATTTAGATTCGAAAATCAATGATGAAATGTTGAACGAATAATCTTCATGGTATCAACAAAGTGTGATGATTTAAAACAGAAAAACAACGTTTCGCTACCATTAATCAATTTGCCAATTTTGATAACAACAATTTTTGGATTGTGTAATTTTTCATCTTCTTTAATTTTCACATCACGAACAACATTAACAAATTTCATTAATCAAATCAAATCAATCGATTAATCAATCATGTTCCTACCATCATTATCATTAATCAACAAGTCCACCACCATTACTTTTAATCTTGTTTTATTCATAATAATAATATCATTATCATCAATTTCTTTGGTCAAAAGTCAAGGTAAAACGCAATGAAATTTGACCTTTGTTTGCTTCTAATCTTGTAATCTTTCTTTTTGTTTTTAATCAAATCAAAAGTATCATCATCACCATCATCATCATTAGATTTAAATAATTATGATGATGATTGTCTAACAACAAATGGAACGATAACATTCGAATTAATCACCGGTTTTGTATTTACATCATCAGCCAATACAGTTATGTCAATGATACCCGGTGTATTACATTTGGCCGATTGTTTGGATTATTGTCGTCAAAATCAAACATGTAATTCATTGAATTTTGAAACAGGCTTATGTGTTTTGTTAAGTTCATCGGCTATACAATTGCCGGATGCTTTGACACCATCACAATTCCCTGTGTTTACTATTTATGCACAGAAAATTTGTCTAAAAGGTATGTTCTGCATAATATTTTTCTCCCCCCATTGAATTCATTTAAAAAACTATAACAAAAACGGTCATAAAAAAAATATCACCGTTGTTGTTTCTTGATCGTGACCATACCATTTTCATCATCTTTGTGCAGAACAAAAAAATAATCTAGTTGTCTTTAGCAGGAAAATTGTAAATGAATGACTTTCATTTTGTAGAAAACAAAATATATATGAAGCCGAATGAAAACATTACTTTCATTTCATTCGTTTATGGTTATTTTTTTTGTGGTGTGTATGGAGGCCCATAATGGTCATTTTTATTTATTAAATAAAAAATGAATAAACAGGGTTGATGACATTTAAAAGAGAAAGAAAGAAGAAAGATTTGATTATCTTTAAGACATTTTTTTTTTAATAACTAAAAATAACTGATAGAAAAAAAAAACAAAGTTCGTGTTCAAGGATTTGTCATTCTGAACACAATGAATGAATGAATGAATGATAAATGAATGATTTTCATATTTTCATTGCCATTGAACTTTTTGAACTTGAACTTGAACCGAATGAATTTTTTCTATGATGATGATGATGATGATATTTATCATTTTTTTTCTGTTTTTTAGATCATTGTTTTCAGATTAAGAACAAAAAAAAAATATTGTATATTGGATAGAGAGGAGGGTATTATTCATTTTTATTCATAGTCAAGATAGTTAATCACTTTTAGTTACTGTCTGAAAACTGTCACCTGTTTAACCATTAAACATTTGATATCGTCAATCATTATTATCATCATTATATGGATGGTAATGGTTAAATCTAATTTCAAATGATCTTTTCAAAAAAAAAAAAAAAAAACAGAAACAAAAATGTTGTTTCTGTTAATAACTGTAGTTTATTTTTTGTGTTTGACAATCTTCGCGAATACCTAATTAACATAAAAATCAGTAGCATGAATTCTTTGAATGTCTTTCTCCTAAATTAATCAATTAGACAAATATGCAAATTTTCGTCCATCGTCGGTATATGTTAATGTGAAAGTGTTGTTCAAATCAAATTATCATTTATCAAGTCAAACAGACAGAGGGAGACAGAAACAGACAAAAAAAATTTGCATAAATCATCATCATCATTATTGAATCACTAACTCTTATCGATCTGATGATCGTTGTTGTTGTTGTTATCAGATTGTTGAATGCAACAACAACAACAACAACAACAAGGCAAATGATTGTTCAATCTATCGAACCATTCTTCCAAATAATAACGATGATGATAATGTATTTTAGTTTGAACGATATTTGTCTTGGTGGTCATTGGCCTATTCGAACACACTGAGAAAAAGAAAAGAAAAACTTGGCTTTTTAAAAATGTAAACACAGACACAAAAAGTGACAAACAAACGTCAAAATTATGATAATAAGTTATGATGTCTAAGTAAGGGTGTAGTTTTTTGTTCAGTAAAAATCATTATCTAGAAGTTTTTTTTTTATTAACAAGATGGATAATTACATCTATACGGTCTATATGTCATCATTATCATAATCTTTTTAACATGTGTCACATACACGAACATAAACATATTTTCGTAAAAGATAATCTTAAATGACAAGTCTTGTAATAAAGAAAAAAAGGATAATTGTTTTTTGGAAAAAATAGATGTGTCATATTAATTTCTTTCTCTAAAATTTGCCTGTTGGATAATCAATCAAAAAAAATTAAATTTAATAAGTTTGGATTTCTGGATTTTTCTTAAACAACAACAAAAACTGGATGATTAAAATCTCATTAATCATTTTTTGAGAGACACAAATTGTCATTTGTGTCTCTCAAAAAATATATAAAAACCATTTCCTTAATCTTGGATTTTGTTGTTGTTTTTCAAGCAAAAACAAAACACAAAAATAACATCCATTAAATTTATCATCACGTTTTGTTCATCTCGATGATGATAATTTTGTTTTTTGTTTTTGTTTTTTTTACAGTTTTAGTTTTCCATTAATCCTTCGGTTAGCTATTTATTTATCACTTCTTTTCTCGTTCTCTTCATCAAATCATCATTATCCTTAACGCTTCCGATATCAAAACCCCCTTTTTTTCCTAATGATGATCATAATGATCAGGATCATCATTATTGTTGTTTACGGAAATGTTATTATTTATCGTGATAAGAATAGGTGTGTGTGTTGATAAGAAAAGAGGTTTGGTTTGAAACCAAAAATCAAGATGACGATGATCTTGATCTTCAATCACATTCATCATCATTAGATTATATCATCGATAAAATACCTCAATAATAATAATCATTAGTATCATTGTTTTTTGAAAAAAACATCCATATATAATTTACGATTGAAGGGTTATATTTTGAAAAAAAAGACATAAATCATCATTATCCATTAATGATGTGTAGGGGAAAAAAGAGAGAATAGATTCAGTTAAATTATCATTGTTTATAATGTCATTTTTATAATTTTTTTTAACCCTTTGATCACCTTAATTATCACTTGTTTTGTTAGATTTACAAAAAATTTGTACAAATAATCATAATGGTTGGGCATTTGAACGTGTTGCTGGTTTTGAATTACGTGAACATGAAAAACGTTTAGTACAATCACCAACAAGTCAAGATTGTATGCAAGCTTGTGTTTGGGAACAAAAATTTCAATGTCGTTCAATAAATTATGAATCAAAAACTGGTGAATGTTGGTTATCGGATATGAATCGTCATACAGTTAATATTAATACTGAAATACGTTCACAAAAATATGGTCCATCAAGTGGTAATATTGATTATTATGAATTTAATTGTATTCAAGGTAAGCTCACAGAGAAAAATGAAAAACATTCGCTTTCGCTAAACATATTTTCTATGCCTGCACTCCTTATTGCCTATTGTTTATCAGTTTATTAACCCCTTTTTTTCAAGATACTAATCAATTCTTTTGCAAATTTTTTTTTTTGAAAGTCCATTTTTGATTTATGTTTTGCGTGTGATATTAGCATAATGTTATTATCTAGATTTCAAACCATCATTTGAAAGATCAGGCTATAACGATTTCTTTTCATTTCTTTAACCCCTCTTTCTCCTTCTCGCTAAAAAAAAGATAGGTAAAGATATGATTGCTCATAAATAATAATAACTACTTTTTACTTCATATAGACATTATCTTTTTCTTCTATCCATATCATAATCATAACTATAGGATTTTTTTTTTATATTTCTACTAAAGATATCAAATATTATTATGTCAAGGGTGGTTAGATGGTGTTAATATTTTTTCAAATCGATGATTGATTGATTGATTATAGTAGTGTAGTTTAGTCAACAATTACAACACCCATCATCCAAATCATAACTTTATTCACTTTTTTTTCGATTTTTCCTATTTTCTTCGTAGAACCAAAAAAACTTTGTGATTTTCGTCCGATACATGGTCGAATATTGAAAACAGTCGATTCAGTTTATCAAAATATAACAACTATTGATGAATGTCAACGACAATGTCTGCAGGGGCCATATCGTTGTCATTCATATGATTTTGGTGATCCAAGTAATCCGGTTTGTCGTACAAGTCATTTGGATAAAATTTCTTTGGCTCATATTGATAATCCTTATATTGAAATTGCCGGGACATCAACATTTGAATTACAAGCTTGTTATGATGGTTAGTTTATTGGTTTTTGCTTTGTTTTGGTTTTGGTAATGTTTTTCAATTTTCATTTTTTTAAACAGTAAACATTCAATGTGAATCAAGAGAAATGGTAGCAAAAGTACGATCATCAAAAATATTTGATGGAAAAGTATATGCAAAACGTAAACCATATCATTGTATGACTGATGTTAATGAAAGTCTTGAATTTGAAATACATATGGGTTATAATGATTTGGAATGTGATGTACAACAAACTGACAGGGGTCAATATACTAATGATATTGTTATACAACATCATGATCTTATTGTTACTACACAAGATTTAGGCCTCAATATTAATTGTAAATATGATCTTTCTAATCGAAGTATTTCAAATAATGTTAATTTGGATATTACCGGGTAAGTTCATTTTATTATCTGATTTCCTTTTCTGTCAATTTTATTATATTTAAGTGTATATAATTAACTTGAAGCAGATAAGTCAACCATATTAGTTAGTTTCGTTTTTACGTTAGATATAATTGATTGTTTACCGACATGAAGAATGCGACATTATTCAATGATTATTCAAAGATCAAAGATTGATTATCATTATCATTGTCATTGTTATTTTTTGATTTGATTGATTTGACACATCTTGACTAATTCTTTTTTCCTGAATGTCTATGTGTATTTGTGTGTTTATGTTTGTGATCTGTGAATCGAATCAATCTTCATAAATCAAAATAAATATTTCCCCTGTAATTATAATTACTACTACTAATCATTTGTTTGTTTGTTTGTCATCATTATCATCATTGAATATTTGAAAAGAAGAATGCAAAGAATAAGGAAGACAATGATGATAATCAAATGTTTGTTTGACAAAACTAAACTCTTTAAGGAATGATCATTTGTCTTTATTTCATTTTGCCAAAAAAACGTTAAAAATGTCACCCTTCACTTCAAAAAATCATCATCATCATATGATTATCACCCAAAGAAAAACTTGAAAGTTTAAAGAAAAATAATGATGATTTTTTTCAAGCTTTTTAGCCTGTCAAACAAACATATCCAAATCTTAAACAAACATTCCATTAGTTGTTGTTTTTTCTAATATTAACCATTCCGGTGTCATTTTATTGTGTGTGTGTAAAAATCACACTTGAAAGATTTTTTTTCTATTTTTGAACCCAAAAATGTTTATGTAAATGTCATAAATAATGTTGTGTGTATGTGTGTTTGACAAAGCGGAAATTTACACAATTTTACGGAAGAATCTTTAGAAACTAACAGGAAAAGATAATAGCTATTTTTCTAACGAAAAAGTCAATTTTATTATTTATTTTGCGGTTATACACAATAACACCCGAAAAAAAACCAACTTAGAAAAAATTGACAATTGAATCTTTGAAATGATTTCTAAAAATAATTTACCAACAAATTATATGGGTGATTTTTTTTTTGGTTGATAATCTCTGGTTGATTTTAAAACCATTTTACACACTTGGTTAATCTGGTTCACCTGTTTTTTTTTTGTTGATTTTGATTTGTCACCTTGTATGTAATCTAGGGTTATTTCTTGTTATCTTGCTGATTTATTTTGATATTAATAATCGTTTCGTTTTTTCAATATCTTTTCTAGCAATTTACAACCAATCGGTACACATTCAGCTGTTGTTGATTCACCAAACGTTACAATGAAAATTGTCGATATGGATGGTTCCAATGTTCGAACGGCTAAAGTTGGTGATCAATTAGTATTACGTTTTGAAATTATTGATCAATCAAGTAAGTTTAACCTGACCCTTTTTAAATTCCGAAATTCGCCCTAAATTCAATGTTGGGCGTCTAAATGGACACACACAATGATGACGGTCACTTTATGAACTAGTTTTTTTTTGTTGAAAAAATACAATAGAAAAAAATTTACATGTCACATTTCGTTGAGGGAGAAGAGTAGGTGATCAAAAACACTGACCATAATAATTATATAGAATGTTATATCATAATCATAACGATTGTTACATTTTTTGTTGTTGTTGTTGTTCATATTCAGCAGAAAGATTCTCTGATTTGATTATCATCATTGACGACAACAAAAAAAAATTTCTTTTCTGATGATCGTTACATGATGATAATGTTCTATATTTGAAATGATGATCTTAATAATTTTGATGCATCTCTACAAAATTATTTTGACAAATGTTATGATGATGTTCGGGTCATTTTCATTGAACAAAATAAGGAAGTCTCATATCATCATTATCCTATACAGGAATGACACGGTTTTTTTGTTTCTTTCTTTCTGGTTGTTCTTCACATAATAATAATAATAATAATATTCATTTGATTATCAACGACAATGACCGAGAAAATCAATGAAAAAAAAAGATTTGCTTTAAAATTACCACCAACCCTTTTTTTTACTATGCTGTTTTATTTGATTAGACATTTCGAGGAAACGTTTTTACCTTCAAGGCTGATGAAAAAACAAAGCCGATTTTTTTCGTTTTGTTTGATTGTCGCTAATTGTAGCCAAAAGGGTTATAGAGGACATATATTCTAATGTTATTTTTGCTTTAAATAATAACTAATTTAATCCACTATAAGATTTTCACATTACCGTCACTTTTTTTTAGGTGTTTTTATTTTCATTCATTCACTGTTTATAAATTAACATTCAGACAGTCAAACAAACAGAACAACAACAACAAAATTATAATGATGTGAAATTATTTTTTCACAAAACATCTTCTCTCTTCAACAAATTTACTACCTAATGATCATGTCTCGAAAGGGTTTTAATTCAATTTACTAACTATGAGAGATGATAAAAAACAAATTGAAAATGCTAATTTGTTCAAAATTGTTGTTCTGGTTTTTTCTTCCGAAGAGAATCATAATTATTATCATTATTTTAAATAATGTTTGCATAACTAATTGTGAAAAATTATTACCTGATAATAAAAAAAATTTTATTCATTCTTTTTTTTTGTTACAGCTCCATATGAATTATTTGTTCGTGAATTAATTGCATTGGATGGTACTGATATGTCGGAATTTGTTTTAATCGATTCGGATGGTTGTCCAACTGATATTGCCATCATGAAACCAGTTTTAAAATCACGTGATAATTCAAAAACATTAGAAACAATGTTTGAAGCATTTAAATTTCCATCATCTGATATTGTACAATTTAAAGCATTAATAACACCTTGTATTACTAATTGTGAACCAATTAATTGTAATCTTAATTTGCCGAATGGCCGTACAAGTCAAAGTATATCGTATGGTCGTCGAAGACGTCGTCGTTCACCATCGATGGCTGATGTTGATGATAAACAAAATGTAAAATCCACCGATATCAATGATCCAAGAAAAAATGTTATTGTTGTTGAATCATTAAGTGTAACGGATAAATTTTCAGTTAAAGATGGACAAAAACGTAAAAAAATCCAACAGAACAATAATGTTGATGTTTATGCTGATTTCGAAGATTCAACGATTGATCGTCTGCCACGAATGGAATTGGCTACTACACCATGTATCAATGTTTTAAGCCTGATGATATTTGCTGTTGCATTTTTATGTTGTCAAACACTGTTGATTATTAGTTGGTCATATATTTGGAGTAAAAAACGTAAAAATTCATTAATTGAAAATGAATTAATTTATGGAACATTATCATCAGCAGCATCTGCATCCAATAGCCAATGGTCATCACCAATCAAATCAATCAATCACCGGATACCCATGGCTAAAGCATCTTGTGGTGCATCATCTCATTCACCAGCATCATCATCATTCGTATACTCGGTACCTAGTCGGCAACATGGATATTTATCATGAAAAACAAAATCATTATTCGATTAACAAAAACACTTACTGATGGTTAAGGGGCATTTACATTTTAAAATTCACAGGGAAACGGAATCTATTTTTTGAGCTCTCATTTAAGTTATTTTTTTTTGAAGAAAATTGGGCAGAAATTTTTTTAAATATTTTGTAATGATCAAGGTGCGGCCAAATTGTTATTTTCCATTATCATCATCATCTTCAAGAGAAAAAAATGCTCACATATCACCTTTTTTTTTGAAAAATAATATTCCGAAACGAAACGGATCAAATTTATTTATTTATTTATCAAATTATAAATACTTTATTGGATTCGACTTACTTATGTAATTTTTAAATTATTCAAATTTAAATAAATAAAAACCTTTAAAAAAGGAATCAGGTGAAGAATTTTTTTTTCGAAGTTTCAAAAAATTTCGAACGAAATCAAAATGCCATCTATGTTTTACGTTCGAAATCAATTTGTAACAATCTTTATGAACGGCAATCAAAAAAAATCAAGAATCGACACGCTTTTTCTCGTGTTTTCTTCGTTTGTTTGTTTTTTGACAAGAAGATTCGAATCTTTTTTTTAAAAATACTTGTTATCTTTAGACGATTCATCTTTATCATAAGAAATCGATTTCAATTCGATAAGTAACAATCAAAAACAAAAATGGCCCAAAATCAAGAGCGTTTTGATGCCATATTATTGTCGATGGCACAAGAACATGAAGGAGGTGTTTTGGAATTTTTGGATACAATATTTAGCTTTATGGCAAGAAAAACAGATTTTTTCATTGGTGCCGGTGAAGAAAAAGCCCGAAAAACAGTTATGGAAGCATTTGAAAAATGGAATCAAGAATCTAAACGTATTCATGAAACACAAATAAAAGAAAAGATGGAAAAAGAGAAAAAACATCAAGAACGTTTGGCTGCTAAAAAACGTGAAGAAGAAGAATTTATTAAAAAAATGAAAGACGAACCGGCTATTGTTGAAATTACCGATGAAGAAGCCGAAAAGATGAAAGAAGAAAAACGTAAAAAACAAGGTATTTTGTAGTTTTGTTTTGACAATTCTTTAAAATTTCTTTCATTAAATAATCAGAATCAAGTGATGGCGACAAAACAAACAAAGAAAAAACTAATGATGACAGCCCTGTTGCTAAAACGAACGACGATGATGATGATGATCCAAATAAATTGAAACCTAATGCTGGAAATGGCTGTGATTTACCCAATTATTCGTGGACACAAACATTGGATGAAATTGAATTGAAAGTTCCTGTTCGATTGGGTATCAAACTTAAATCTCGTGATGTTGTTGTAAATTTTCAAAAGAAACATTTACAAGTTGGTGTTAAAGGCCATCCATTAATTATCGATGGTGATCTATATAATGAGATAAAAGTTGAAGATTGTATTTGGGTGATTCAAGATTCAGTTTTGATCGTTATTACATTGACTAAACATAACAAAATGGAATGGTGGAGCAAATTAGTGACAACCGATCCTGAATTGAATACAAGAAAAATCAATCCCGAATCATCGAAATTATCCGATCTGGATGGTGAAACACGTAGCATGGTGGAAAAAATGATGTTCGATCAACGACAAAAAGAGATGGGTTTACCAACATCTGAAGAACAACAGAAACAGGATATGTTGAAGAAATTTATGGCTCAACATCCAGAAATGGATTTCAGTAAATGTAAATTCGGTTGATTGATTCCAGTTTGGCCTTGGTAAACAAAAATGTGAAATTTTTCATATTAATCATATTGCCCATAAGAATTTTTAAGTCATCAATATATTCTATTCAAATCTCAAAATAAAGAGAAATAAGATTCTTTTCCACTTTTAATTTTATTTTATAAATCAAAATAAAAAACTTTGAATTTAAAAATTTGCAAATTTTGTTTTTTTTTCCAACCATTAGAAAGTGGCGCCATCTGTTGACAGAAAAAGAAACTATACTATGAGATAGAATATTTGAATATTTGCACGGTTGAATTTGAAAAAAAAAGACAAAATTGTTTTTCTTTTTATTTGAGATTGTTCAAAAAAAATCATCAGGATCACGAAATAAAATTTAAAATTAAAGAATTTGTTTGTCAAATTAAATAAATTGAAAAATATTTTGTGATCAAAAATAAATAAATAAATAATCGTCGTCATGTGGCAATTGAGAAAATTAAAATCAATTCACGAATCAAAATCATCGAAATTAAATTTCAAATCAAAAAAAAAATTATTTACAAATCAAAAAGTGTGTATGTTTGTTTTGCGTTAAAAAATTCTTCTTCATTATCATTATTATTATTATTGTTTTCGTTTTGTTATTTGTTTCGTGTTTCCCATGAATCCCATTCAGAAATAAATCAGAAAAAAAATCTAGATAAATATGTGAAAAAAAAATTGAAAAAAATCTATTGTCGTTTTGCTTTGCTTTTGCTCGTCATTCGACGAAACGTTCTTTCATTGGATTATCTTCTTATTCATTCATTGTCGTCGATTGATCAAATTTCTATCCATTTTTTATTGCATTATCATCATCATTATCATCACATTACCATCATCAAACATGATGCTGTTGTTTTCCTGGTTGTTGATAATGATGGTAAACATTATTTTGATGATTATTGTTAGGAGAAGGACCACCGCCACCGCTGCCGTGACTAGCGTATAATGTTGGACGAATAATTTTACTATTATTATGATGATCCATTATATTCCATGATGATGATGATGAAAATGATGGCGATTTTGATAATGTTTTTGTTGTCGATGTTAACAATGATGATTTCAATGTTGATGATCTATTACGTAGACATGCCCATGTTAATAATAAAACCAATTGTGCTAATAGAAAAAATGATCCGGCAAATATAAATCCCATTGAATTTAAACAGGTTCCAGTTGTCGTCATTGAGATTAAATCACGTCGTGCAATAATGGATGCTAAATGAATAATATTTCAATAATAAAAAACAAGAAGAAGGGTTGTCATTTTAGAAAAAAAAATACAATTAATTCATGCAAAAATGATTTAGTTTAGTTTTTCTGCTTGGTTTTGGTTTTGATTTTAATGATCTTACTAAGATTCACTGTTATATATAACTGTGACACATGATATATAATGACCCTTTTAACCCTGATCATTATCATTATCATCATCATCATGATTTTATCTGATAAATCCTTTTGTTCTTGTTCTGACAATGATTTTATGACCACCATCACTAACCCTTTAAGCTATATTTTTTTTATTGCATACTCATAAAAAAACCACTTTAATGCTAATTCTATTTTGATGATGATGCTAAACTTTTTTTGTTTTGTCTTTAATTACATCCTTCAAAAAAAACCTTGATGATATTTATTTCAATTGAATTGCGGTCAATTTCGATTTGTTTATTGTTGCATAATTAGCTTCTTGCTACTAACCTTCTTCATTTGAAAATCGATGATTTTGTTGTTGTTGTTGTTGTTGCTGACCTGATTGATTTTTTCGTCTATCTTTACCATTGAATGTAAATTTATCTTTAATTTGAATAGCTCCTGCTACAATTATTTCTTCTTCATTGAGAACATCATCATTTTGATTGGCCGTATTAATACTTCGTCGTCTACGTCTTCGTCGACCAAATGAGCTTAATTCCCGGAGACCACCATCATATCCACGAATATCACATTGTACTGGTTCACATGATGGTAAACATGGTGTTACTAATGCACGAAATTGTACCGTTTCCGATGTTGGAAATTTAAATGCATCAAATGGACCTTCAATAGCTTTTCGATCACCACCAATTTTATTCATTGCACCCATTATAGCCAAATCAGTTGGACAACCATTCGAATCGATTAATAATATTTCCGATTGATCTTGACCATCAACAGCAACTAATTCACGAACGAAAATTTCATATGGACCTGAAAAGTAGTTTTGGAAAAGATAATTTAGATAATCAAATAAATTAATGTAAATATCAATATTTACTTGTTGCTTCAACAATTTCAAAACGAATCATTAATGGATCACCAACTTGTGCTGAAACAATATTACTACCCGAACGATCAGTTATTCTCATTGTTACATTTGGTGAACTAACAATAGCCGATTGACTATCGGTTGCATCAACATCACTGAAATGAAAAAAAATGAAATAAAAACAATTAAAGGGTTAATTAAATATTAAAATCAAAAATCATTATGAAAAACATACCCATCAACAGAAAGATTAACATTATTTGTAATACTACGATTAGTTAGATCATATTTACAATGAATACTTAAACCTAAATCTTTTGTTGTTACAATCATATCATGATGTTGTATAACAATATCATTACTAAAATGTCCATGTACAACTTCTTTAACATCACAATCAACATCATGATATTTCATACGAATTTCAAAATCCAAACTATTCTGTATATCTTCCACACATAAATTCGGTTTTGATTTGGCATAAATTTTTCCATCAAATATTTTTGTCGTCTGTACATGGGCAATCATTTCACGTGATTTACATAAAATACTCACTAAAAATTTAAAAAAACGAAAGAAATTAAAAGAAAATCAAAACAAAGAAAAATCAATCTTCAAGTTTCATGTGTTTGACATAAACGATCATTTAAATAATAGTAACAAAATCAAAATCTAAAAAACAACAAAAAAAAAGAAAAGAAAAGAAATTCAACCGAATCTAATAGCAAGGTTATTTTACTCGTCTACCATATATGAAATCGTTGTTGTCGTTAAAATTGTCTAGTCTATGATGATGATGATGATGGATATAAAATACCTTATTTGATCCGACATAATCATCATCATCATTTGATTTCTTTTTGCAGAAGGATTATTTTGTTTTGTCGTTGTGTCCAAATGCTAAATAGAGCGCGTTACGCAAGCAAAATACACCTGTTTTGATTTTTGGTTGTTTCCGCATTTGACATTATCATCATCATTACTATTATCTAAAAAGTATTTTCGTGTGTTTTGTTTCATTGTTTCACTAATTAGATTTCAATTCAAAATTGAAAAATGAAATTGTGATATACATACCATTATAACATGAATGTAATTCATATGTAATAGCACCATTAACTTGTAAATATGCATCATCAATATGTGCTAATGAATATTTATCCAAATGACTTGTACGGCAAACTTTATTTGGATTATTTGGATCACCCAGATCAAATGAATGACAACGATATTTGGATGATAAACAACGTTCACGACATTCATCAATTGATTGAATGTTTTGATAAACAAAATCCACTGTTTTCAATAATTTTCCTTCGATTGGACGAAAATCACATAGTTTTTTTGGTTCTATAAAATCAAAAAATTAAAAATCAAAAATCAAACCAAAGAAATTCCAAAATAAAGAAGGAATTGTCATCAGGAAAAAAACCCAAACAATTCATCATCATCATCATTAGTAGATGTGAAAAACAAGCAACAGACAGATTCTTGCTGTAAACAAATCATTTTATCATTCTTTCAATCATCACATGGGAAAACTAACACACCACATTCACACCATAGATAAGACAAATTTTGCGATGAAAAAAGATGTTATTCTTGGGATGCCGGGTGGCTTTTCATTCACAAAAAGAAAATAATAAAATTAAAATTTTTGAAGAAAAAAAATTAATCGTAGGCAGACTTTATCCATATTGAAAAAAAACGTTGATGGGTCCCAAACATCAATAAATCGTCATCATCATCATCTTTACCCTGCTTTTTTTTCCTTCAATGAAAATATACATTATCATCATCATCATCATCATCATCATCTGACAATCATCCATTAGTCAAATGATAAAATGATGATGATGATTGACCCTTTCACACACACACACACACACAATTGAATGAAAGACATTTTCTTCATTTCATTTCTAATCGTAAATCTTACTTACTTACAACAACAATATTTTGAAAACAGTTATCATCATCATCAAAGAGAGTAAATCTATCAATCATTTGACAATGATCATAATTTTAATGATGATGATGATGATGATTCAAAACTAGTATTTACCAATTATCCTATGATGATGATCGAAAATCTTTCTTCTTCTTCGAAGATAATAGATAATATGGATGGATAACAGTAACACAATAGCTTTTTTTCTTTCTTTCTTTCTTCCGAGAATGAATATTCTCTCTCGGACAACAAGGTAACACTATCTATACCTGCTTGCTTTACCTGCCTGTTTACCTACCTGACTGACTGACTGACTGACTGACTACTATCACTTATTATCATCATCATCATCAAACCTATTACTTTTGAAAAAATTTTTTTGTAAGTTTCAAGTTTTTTTTCTGCTTTGCTTTTTAACACACAAAACTTACAAAAAAAAGAAGTAATAATCGTTACGCTTGATTACCGAGAATTTTTTTTTCATCATTTGAAAGATTTGATGATAAAAGTGTCATTCATTCATTTTTCTCTCTATTATTAAATGATGATGTTTTAGGAAGAACAGAACAGAGGGTTATTAGGTTAGGTTTTTTTTTATCGTTTACCTTCAATACAATTATTTTCCAAATATTCAGTTGATCCAGATGATGATGGTCCATATGTACGCATTTTAATATCATGTGTTGGATTAATTGAACCACGATCCATATCGGAAAGTGAACAATCACCAGTATCTGGGTCATAATTTGCCGAACGACAAACAAAATCTTGTTCAGATAAACATGCTTGCATACAAGCAAAACGATTTGGTAATGGTAATTTTTTTAAATCTTTATCTTTCAATTCAAATCCAAGAACACGTTCAAATGACCATCCTTTTTCCATACATTTTTGATAATTTTCTAAACAGCAAAATTAAAAAAATCGGTTATTATTATTCTTCTCGGGTAAAAACATCACCAAAAATACATACGTTTTAGACAGATTTTCTGTGCAAAAATTGTAAACACCGGGAATTGTGATGGTGTCAATACAGTAGTCTGATCATTAGCTGCTGTTGTTAACAATACACATAATCCAGTTTCAAAATTTAATGCTCTACATGATTGATTTCGTTGACAACGTTCAATACAATCACTTAATTGTAATATACCGGGTATCATCTGGACAGTTTCAGCTGGTGATGTTAATACATAACCGGTAATCAATTCAAATGTAATTAGGCCATCATTTGTACAATCTAAATCATTTTGATTATTATTGATGTTTGATGACAATAGATCATCTAAATGTGTGGTGAGAAAAAAAATAAAGACATTATTCGGATGATGATAAGGATATTATTACTCGATAATAATAATAATAAAAAAGAATGAAAATCGTGATTCAAGGATAATAATAACAATAATCGATTGTATCGATTGTGAAAACGGGAAAAAATAAATGTTATTCTTTATGTTCGAATCTGATCTGATCATCATCATCAATAGATATTTTCGCTAAAGGATAATCATCAATAAATGAATGGCCAGAAAAAGAAAAATTGATGATCGAACAACAACCAACAAAATGGTGAGAAATAACTCTATTAAGTAATCGATTGAACATGAATGATTTTGTCTAATTAACATTTAATTTTCTTTTTTTCTTTCTTTCGTTGGTTGGTTGGGTGATTTTTTCTTCTTTCTGAATGAATTTAATTGGAATTTATGACTCCAAAACCTATTTTGAAACGAAATTGATTGGATAAATGTGAATATTGTGTGTTTAAATCATGATTGAATTGAACATCAAAAACAAAAATCAGAAGTGGGAAAAACAACAACAACAACAAAAAGATTTTGGTTAAATCGAAAAAAAGGATTAACCTTGATTTGATCATCCTGAAAATATACAAAACCACAAATCTATGGACACAGTTGGAATTTTCATTTTGTTTGTCTGTTCTATGTCTATTTCACTGAACTGTCAGTCAATCAAAAAAAGAAAAAAGGGTTAAAAAATCTGAAAACAAAAAACAAGGTCAGCAAAATGCATCCAGACTTTTCCAGATTTATTATCGAAAAAACAAAACAAAAAAAACGTCGTCGGATAAACATTGAATAATTGTCATTATTCACCACCACCACCAACTAACAACCATAGTGGATCTCAAGTGTAAAAATTATTATTATCATCATTTTTAACCCCCTCTCGCCAATCATCATCATCATCATCATCATTGAACCATAAAATCGAAACAGAAAAACGAAACAAATGAATGGAAAAAATAAATATCATGTGGATCAACAACAACAAAAACAGAGAAAAAAGTGTCAAAATATTCATTCATTCAAAAAATGACAAATTTGATTTGATATAAATAATAATAACCATTGAAAAATTGAAAAACAATTTTTCGTCAACGAGACATATAAGTGGTGATTGAAAAATATGAATTTCCCACCACCATCAACCAATCATCATCGAATGAATGAACAAATAAAAAAATGCCGGAAAATTGTTTCATTTGAAAGAATTTTTTTGCAAACAAATCAGAAGAAGGCAAAAGAAAAAAGGTCATCATTATCATCATCATCATTGAAAATCTGTCAACAGCAGAAAAACATTGTTGCTGTTGTTGTTGTTGATCAATTCATTATAAATGAATGGAAACGATAACAACAAAGATTGATGATTGATTGAATCTTGTCAAAAAAATTTTTGTCTGAATCAGTGGATAATCATCATCATACTTATATCATCTTATTGACAAGTGTTTTCCGCTTTTTTTGGAAAAAAATGTCGCTTCGAAACCAATTTAATAACTAACGAAAGATAAGCAAACGAATAATTCTTCAGATATACCATCATCAATAATAAACACCATCATCATCATATTTTCATATCATTTTTTTTCATCTCCTTAACAACAACAACAACAACAACAGGAAGATCTTTACCAGAAGAAAAATAGTATTAAAAAAAACAAAAATCTAATTGGCACCAGTCATGCGTTTATTTCATTGAATAACAAACTTTAAACAACAATTTCTTGTTGTGTCATCATCGTTGTATTTGGTGTATAGATATTGTAAATGCATACAAAAAAAGAAAGAAATCAAGTTCAACCATCTTATTATCATCACAAGAAGAAAAAAAAGAGGTAACAATAAGACGACGACGAAGATGATAATGATGACAAACAACAAAATATTTACCCCCTATTAGAATAATATTTTATCTGGAAGAGAAACAAAAAAAAAAGGAAGCAATTTAACGAACGAATCTACCACCATTATCATTGCCAAAAAAACAAAACTGATATTATCATCAGCAGTTTCATTTCATTTTGGTTTTTTATTGAATTTGTTTAATGAATAACACACACTGAAACGAAAATAATTATGTGACCAAAATATACCAGTGTGATAATTGAATGTGAAATTTTTCTGAAACAAAAAAAGATGTGACTAATAATCTATGAATGTTGTTTTTGTTTATTGAATTGAAAGAAAAAATTTCAATTTTTTCCGAGGATTAGGTAGAGAAGATGTTTGTAAATCCAAGACGAAAAAAAACATGAAAACCATTTTTTTACAGATCATATTTTGGACAGGTATTTTTTTCAATCACCATCATCATCATTATTATCCAACCATAACGAAGATTACCCATTATTATTATTATTATCATTAACTAAACCTGAAATCTAGCTAGTAAACCATATCTAGTTAATTTTTAATTTGAATATAATAATCATCGTGATTCATAAAAAACAAAACAAAACAACAACAACAACAATGATAATTTCAAAACAAACAAAAACATTTCGAAATTGATAATGATAATCTTGAATTAAACAAAACAAAACAAAACAAACAGACAAAAACTATGTCAAGTTCAAGTTCAAGATCAAGGTCAAATTAATGAATATCTTACAACAACAATCATATAAGATTGGAAGAACTTTGTTTGGTATAAAATTGGTCATCGTGATCATTGATGAAGAATAATTATCATCGAAAAATCGAAAAAAAGATTTTCCATTCACGAATAAAACATCATCGGGTTGGAATTTCTTTAAAATATCCGGTCAATAAATTATCAATTATAATCGAATTAAATTGAAAAAAATCAATCAATCAATCGATTGATGATGATGATGAACTACCGAATTTTGATCAAGTGAAATAATAATATTTGTTTGCAGAAAAATATTATCCAAAAAACCAAAAACCATAAAATATTTAAATAACGTTTAACGAATGATTTGGTTTGATCATAATAAATCGATCATAAACGAATTGGATGATAATAACGCGATGGATTCGTTGGTGGTCAACATACAGAAATCAAATGATGATAAAGATGTTTTGCATAATTGATGATCATGATCATTATTCATTAGAAAAGCATCAATCGATCAACATTCCACATTCAACAAATGTTATGTTCAAGTAATAAAATAAACAATAATCGATCATCGATCAATCCGGGAATGATGATGATAATGGTAATTAAATTAAAAATCAAAAAAAATTGAAAATAATCATCATGTTTTTATATGAAGAAAAACAATAGAAATCACATTATTAAATGAAAAAATCGATTAGCATCGATAATTAAATCAAAACAAACAGACAACCATTATTTAATGATAATGATTATTGAAATTACTGCAACAAAAAAAACGTTAATTACAAACTTGATTAACCATCATCAGCAAAAAAAACAAACATTAAATGTACTTAGAGAAAAACATGACATTGATTTAACTTTTTTTGACAGAACGGAACAAACACACACAGAAAGCGGAGGGTTAAATCATCACCACACCAGAAATACAAATATTACAAAACCAACAAACAAAACTAACCAAAAGCCAAAAACAAACAGCAAAACGAAAAAATGATGTCAACAACAAACATAAACAAACAAATGAAGAAAATCTAGAAAACAAAAACAACAACGATGATGATGATCATCATTAATCTAGGACGAATACACAGGGGATAGGTAAAAAAAATTGCTGAATAAACAACCAATAAACTAGAAATAAACTGAAATATTGATTCTATTGAATCAAAGAAAATATTGAATATTTGAAGATTGAATTCAAGTTTGATGTGCCTTGAGAAAAATGGTTCAGATTTTTTTTCATTACCAAAATTAATTTTCAATTAATCAATTTTTTGGGATATTGATTGAAATTCACACAGAAAGAAAGATCAATTACAAAATGAAATAATCAAATCAAGATTGAAAAGATAAGAAATCTTTTCTCGCCAAAAGAATCTTTATGTAATTTTTTTTTTTGGTTGTGATGTGGAGCAGGTAGACAAATTGATTTTCGTGCCTTGATTTTTTTCATGTTTCAAGTGGAAAAAAAAATTTTTTTTTCCTGAAAAAAATGATGATCATAATCGAAATATTGTGTGTGTGTGTGTGCGAATGGTGTGAAGCATTCTTGAGATGATGATGATGATAATGGAAAAATTAGCTCAATGAGAATAGATCAAAAGTGTTGTTGTTGATAAAAACACTTTTTTTCCACTTTAAAACAATAAGTTCATATTTTTCTCATCATCATCATCACCACTTGAAACTAATGATTTTTTTTCTTCTTCGTAAAGTTTCAAAAAAAACAACGAAAAAAAACATTGAAAAAAGACAGGAAGAAGAAATGTTGTTGTTGTTAATGTGTGAATGTGGCCAGTGATTCTCATTTCCAGATTTCCAGATTTTTTTTCAATAAGAAAAGAATGCGCGTGTGTTTATGGTAAATTGGCGAATCACATTCGAAAATCAAATGACATCTGATCTGATTTGATAGCAAATCAATCACTACTAAAAACATTTGGTTTAATGAAATAATAATAATGCAGAATGACCAACTGTCCAAACATTTTTTTTTCTCCTCACAATATCATATCTTCAACGAAAACAGAAAAGAAAATTGACAGGCTAATCATTTTTTTTAAAAAGGAGATTATATTCATAATAAACATCATCGTTCACAAGTGGGGTATGGGGGGAAAAAATCGCTGGAATTTCAACAACAACAACAAACAACAACAACTGATGTTGTTGAAATGAGATCAATCTTATCAAATCAAATCAAAAAAAAAGAAGGTGATGAATGAATGAAATGAAATGAATGTTTAGAAGAAAACAATGAACATTATTTTCTTTTCTTCTTAAAGATCTTTAACAAAAGCAACAACGAAGAAAAATCATCATTTCGTTTAACACAAGACGGGCGAATCCAGATTTTACATCTTTAAAACAACAACAAGTGTGTCTGGATAGATTTTCAATTCTTATTTCTTTTATCTTAAGTTGTTGTTGTTGTTGTTTGATAATAAATCACACAGTGAACAACAACAACAACAAATGTGGATCAAATGAATTGAAAAACCGACCAACCGATTTTATAAATCATCATTTCAATATGGTGATTAATGTTTTTTTTTTCAACGAGAAAAATGAAATGAAATGAATAAAAAAACTTACTTTGATCTTGTTGAAATCGTTGTTGTTTTGTGGATGATTGTTGTTGTTGTTGTTGTACATGACTAGCAACAATATAAATCGAAGTTAATGATAAAATTGTTAATAATTTTATTATGGACATCATCATCATCATTTTGATTATGATCGTGGTCATCTGCAAGAATCTTGGTCAGCGAAAAAAAAAATTTTCTGGAAATATTCTTTAGCGAAGAAAAAGTCGATTTTTTTCTTTTGATTTTTTTGCTTGTTTGCCAGAAATTTGCCAGAAACTTTTTCTAATTACGCATTATTACCGTTTTTTTTCGCTTCTTTTCTCGGTTATTTGTTTTACCAGAAAAAACAAAAAATCCACTATTTTTTTCTGTATTTGAATAAATCACAAAACACAATTTTGTTGTTGTTGTTGTTGTCTTTCGGGGAAATGAAGCGAACTTTTCCGGGAAATATTTTTTTTGTTGTTTACCAAAAAAAAAGTCAACAAACAAACGGTTAAACGAAAAAAAAATGTGACAAATAAACAGAAGAAAAAACAAAAAAACATCGGTCATGCGAATAACGACGAATATTCAGATACAGAAGATGAAAAAAAATTGAAACATTAACACAAATATTCATTCAGACATTATCATCATCAACATTGATTGATCAATGGTAAAAACAAAACTAACCTGTAATGGTTGGATAACATTACGGTTTTTATCATTGGGGATCAGATTTTTTTTTCTTTGGTGTGTGTGTGTGAAAAGGAGGTTCAACGGGTATTATTAATATTACAGCGATTCTCTTTCGACACAGAAAGAAATAACGGTTAAAAACGGTATTTAACCCAGCGTACATAAAGCGATGGAAAAAAAAGAGACAAATTAAAGGCGGTCGGTTCGGTGTAAATGGTGAGAGAAAAGGGGTATTTTCGGTTCTCTCTCTGGCTGGCTTGCTTGCTTGAATATTCAATTTTGTTTTTTTTTTTTTTTGGACATTCGAAAAGGAAAAAATAATGATCATTTTTGGCAAAGTGAGAAAAAAAAAGAATTGTCAGGTAGCCATATCATGGTAATATGCGCCATCACTATTACCATTATCATCATCAATAACTACCTGTTATTGTTGAATGAAATGATATTTGATTGGTTGGTTAACGTCGTCGTCGTCTCTCTCTCTCTCTCTCTCTCTACAGCTAATTTCTTAGGAAAAAAAATTGTCTGGACAAAAAATGATTTTGACGATCAAAGAAAGAAAATTACCAAAATATAGAGGAGAATTTCCTGTATTGAAATCCAGAACAGGAAATCCGTGAAATTCTTGAAAAAAACCAATCGGATACAAATGATAACCGACGGTAGATGTCCGCGGAATGACATTTCCGAATCAAACAAACCAAAAAAACAAAGCAAACAATTCTGATTACCTAATCGATTGATCGATTTTTAGAAAATCAAATCAAATTTCAAATTTGATAAAAAAAAAATTTCGAAGAAAAAGGCCCTAAAAAATTAACCCTTAAGCAGAACGTTATTTTTTTTTGTTTTTTTTCCATCGAAAAAACAAAACCGATCATCACCAAGATAATCTTTACATGTGAATTTTTTTTTCTTTTCTCTGCAAATATTTGCTGATCACCAAACAAACATCATCCAACCAATGTCCAACCAACCGATTAGATGATGATGATGATGATGAATAATCAAAAAGAAAAAAAAATCACCCAACATTCGGACAGGTGTCAACATCACTTCACCTTGGCATCATCATCATGAAAAAAACCAATTTGTTGTTGTTGTCGTTCGTTTGGTTATAATAATAGATAATTTTCTTAGAAAAACATCTTTTTTTTTTGCTTCTCCAGATGTCCAAAAATGTAAATAGTGGTAGCCACACAAAGATAATAATTCTTTGCCCTGATTCTGTGAATATATATACAAGGGAATTATCATTTTCAAAGATTCGTGACCATCATCCAACATTCACATCATCATCATCATTTTGATCAAATTTCAACTCAGGTAAAGTCAAATGATGATGATGACCAAACGTTTATCATCATTATCATTCAATGCAAAACTTTAGCTGTAACCAAAAAACAAAAACCAAGCAAAAAATTCTATCCATCACCGTTATTATGATGATTTTTTTTAAAGGTGAAAAAGAATCTTCCCAAGTGAAAAATGAAAATATGAAAATATGAAAAACATTTTTTTTCAACATGGATTTTAATTATGAAATTGATGAATTTTTCTGTTTTTTTGTTTGTTGTTTGTTTGGAATTAATAAATTTAAGGTGAAAATCATTGATGATGATGATGATACCCCAGAGATGGTGTAAAGGATTAAAAAGATTTTTTTCTGAAAAGGACTTTTTGAATTTTGCTGGAAAATTAAGAGATTTCAAAGAAGAAACTTGTTCGAATCAATAAATCATCTATAACATTCACCATCGATTGGCATCCATGATGATGGCAGAATCTGCCAGCGATTTATGTCAACCGAGAAATCTTCAGAAGAAAAAACATTTTTTCCAACATCGATTAAGCTATGTTTGCATTTGGACAACGAAACAAAAAAAAATCTGACAACCAAATATGATGTTTTTTTTAGGATAATTTATTGAGTCATATTTTTTTTACATAGATTATGTAATGATGATGATGATGATGATAAATCTTTCTTTCTTTCTTTCTTTCAGGTAAGGATTTGGCCATGTCAACAACATCATTAAGGTAACAGAATTGAATGTTTATTTTATTTTTCTTTCATTCAGACACAACCAAGATATGAATTTCCATCATATGAACAATCATATCAATTGTGAATTTACATATTTTTCATACAAAAAAAAACAACAACCCACATAAATTCTCAATTTACAACAATCATCAACAATCATAATCATTCGTTCGTTTGAAAATTTTTGATCAGAATTTAATTGTCTTGTACCGTATATCTTTGCTAACTAACCAACCAGCCACCGCCAACAACAACAACAAAGATTATTAGATGATTAGATTTTGTCCACTAAAGTAAACAAATGTAAACTGGGTTAAAATAGGAAATTATGTCACAAACTACCGGGGAAACAAGCAAAAAAAATACAATGGATATGTCAATCGGGAATTTGTTGTTGAAATTTTTTTTCCCTAAACAAACAAACAGATAATGTTCGTGTAATGTGCGTGTGTGTGTTACTCACTCGATGATGATGACATTAGAGAAACAAAAATTACATAACCCCTTTTTTAAAACGAAATTAGAAAAGAATTTACAAACGAAGACGACAAGAGAGAGAGAGAGAGAGAGAAAGAAAGAAGAAGTAAAATGCGAATCTAAATCATCATGATAATGTTCGTGATGATAATGATGATGATGATGATGGGTTAAAAAAATGTATGTTTGTAATGTTTTTTCCAGATTTCAAAGATGACCGCTTTTTTCCAATGTAAGAAGATATGGTTTATGTCACGCGGTTTAAAAATATGTGACAAATAAATAAAGGATGATCTGGAAATTCTGCTTGATTTGACCTTCAAAACTTATATCGAAAAAAAATCGACCTTCAAAAACATCAACAATCAACCATGAAGATTATCAAATTTGTGATGATCATCATCATTGGGTCAAACATTGTTGTTGTTGTTGTTGTTTGGAGAAATTATTCAGATGGAAAACAACAACAACAACAACAGAAAAAAATGGTCATCATCATCATCAAATTTTCGACAACATTCAAAATCGAAAATCGATTTTTCAATCAATCAATGGAAGAACAGAACAGAAAAAAAATTGGAGCAAATCGATAATGTCGATCATCATCATCATCATATTATTCATTCATTCAAAATTTGATTGTTATTTATCGATCCGACAATGTTCAAAAAAAAAATGCTAATATAGATCATCATTATCATCATTTTTGATCTTTTGCTGCTGTTGTTTTTCACTGAAAAAAAACAAAGGCCCTAAATTATGATGATGATGATGATGACAGGGACATAGCATAGCATCAACACTTAAACACCTGAACACCGATTATACATAACATATATCGAGAGAAAACATTACATTACATTATTATACATAACATAACCGATCAACAAATCAAATCAAAAAAAAAAATCGAACCAGATACATAAAATAAAATAAAATCGTTGTTTGATCTTTGATCGTTTGATTGTCAAAAAATTTTTTTTTTCGGGCATCAGCCGGTTGTGATCATCCATTGAACGATAAAATATGTCAGTCATTTTGATCAGTTTAGTTAGGTCAGTTCGATCGATCGATCGAAATGGCTGGCTCCCAACAAAATTTCAATGACTATTTTGATTGAACCTTTTTGGTTGATTGGATCAAAATAGCATCTTTTTTGATCCAATCAAAGATTAGTTTTTGTTTTTTTTTTTTGGATGATAAAAAACAAAAGAGGGTCATCATAATCATCATCAAATATACAAATGATGATGATGATGATGATTATCATCCAAAAAAACTAAAAACAAAACAAAACAAAAAAGGTGTACCGACATAATTCAACAAAAGAAGAAATTATTATTATTATTACAAATCTTATCATCATCATCATCGTCGATGTAGGTAAAATCAAGGTAGCAAATGAAAAAAATCAACACCTGTGATTGATACCTGCCTGAAAAAAAACATCATTTTCAAATTTTTTAATTTTTTTTAAATTTTCAGAAAAAAAAATCCTTTTAAAAAAGAATTCAAAGGGTTATTTTGGTTTCCAGAGAAAATAAATCTGCATACCAGGAAGAAACGAAAAAATTACCAAACAAACAAACACCAAACACTAAACGTTTGATTATGTGATCAGATAAACTAGCAAAATGAAGAGACCTTGAACTTTGTTTTGTCATTCATTTTTTTTTCCATTTTTCTTTTCTTTGCAGAAAAAAAATCATTATTATCATAATAATAATGATAATCTCTCTCTCTCCAAGACTTAAATCTTCAAGAGAAGAAACCCGAATTCCGTTGTTGTTGTTGTTGTTGTTGGTTGGATAAGGTGAACGGTGCGAAAAAAGCAATGATGATCATCCTCAGGATCAGGATGAATGATTTATTTAATAATGATAAACGACGACTACGACTACGAAGACGACAATGATGACGATTATGAAAGCCGCACGAATAGCCAAACCAAACCAAGCAAACCAGTGTGTCTTCAGTGTCTCCATTATTATTATTATTACAGAAAAAAAAGATTAATCTTGCTTGCTTGCTAGAAATACACCGGTCATCTTTAATCTTTAATCTTGAAAAAATAAAATTCTTCAAACAACGAAGGAAACAACAACAACCGAACAACAATAAACATTCAAGTGACAAAAACACACCAAGATAATCATTAAATGGAATGTGTACCCGAAGTATGCTAAGGAAGAAATGAGAGGGAAAAAAAGATAATGACTATGACATCACCAACAACAGGTAACAATTGTTTACCTGGAATTTCATCTAATTATCATTTTATCCAACGAATAATAATTAATGTAATTATTCAGGTGGAATGGTGATCGATGATGTTATTTCAAACACC